ACCCGCGAGAATCCGCTCGTGCCCATCGGTGAGAGGGAGGCCAGGGACCCGGGAGGGAGGGAGGCAAATTAAGGCAGACCCTAGTTCAACAGGGAGAGCTTTTTCCTTGCAGGTCAAACGGGTTGGTGGGGTGCCGTCTGCTGTAGCCCAGGCCCCGCCAATTATGTCTTGGGTCAGCACCGGTCAAAGAAAAAAAGGGGTCAAATCCAGAAAGAGGGAAAGCAAACGATGAGCAGGAGTTCCTGAGGATAGGAAGCTGATAGGAGTAAGGCTGCCATGCTTCTCTCCCCCAGCCCAGTGTGGCTTTGACACCAGCCAGACTTGACACACGGAAATGTCTCCTGCGAAACTTTCCTTGGCAGGGAGAGGGGTGGGGTAATCTCCACCAGCGAAATGTCCTGGTGTTGGGGGTATTCATCTAGGCCCAGAGACAGGGTGACAATTGGGAGTTGAAGAGGGAAAGATGGTGAACTTGATTAAAGGGTTTGGATCTCTTGCTTGGTCATGAAGCTCCTTGGGTGACCTTGGGCCAGTCGCTGTCTTCTCTCAGCCCAATCTACCTCACAGGGTTGTTTTGGTTAAATGAGGAGGGGGAGAACATTGTACGCCACCTTGAACTCCTTGGAGGAAAAAGGTGGGCTATGAATGCAGTAAATAAACAAATAAAAAAGAATTAGAGTTGTGGCACAATTTTATTGTGTTATAAGCTTTCACAGAGTAGAACTCACTTCATCAGATGCATGGTGTGTGATCCTTGTACCTGACAATGTCAGAGCTTTCCGAACTTTTCAAGTTGGTGACACACTTTATGGACATGCATCATTTTGCAGCACAGTAATTTTTGGTTCATTTCGTGACACAGTCATTCAGTTTTACTAGCAAACCAGAGATTAAACTAACCCTTTCCTGCCCCAGGAGGAGCAAGGGGAGCATTCATGCGACACATCTACACACTACAGCTGACACACTAATGTGTTGCAACACAGTTTGGAAAGCTCTGCTCTCTGTGTCTGATGAAGTAGACCGCAGTAGCACACAAACAATTGTTCTAATGTGTTACTTTTTAAGAGGCCACAAAGCTATGAACAGTAATCTAGATTTTGGGTTGTGTGGATTATGTTGAGGTGGGAGCTGTTGGAGGAGAAAACAAACAATACAGCTACATAAGAACATGAATCATTCCTAAAATATAACTATAAATGAGCCTTTTACATATGTGCTTTAAGGATGTATACAAACTCAATGAGAGGTGTGAGCCTGCAGTTTCATATGCTTTTGCTCTCATTTTGAAAAGATATCTATCCATGTTCTACAAATAAAAAATATATTTTTATACTATACTACACTACACTACACTACACTACACTGAAATGTTTAAATGTTTCTTTGATTGTCCTTGAATCTTCCCACCGCATTTGCCATCCTCTCCTGCCACACCAGTGTGGTGCGCCATATCCTTTGAGAACTACTGACCTAGATGAAGGAATTGTGTTTAGTCAAGTGATTCTCAAACTGAAATTGTATTAAAACCACTGTGTTAGGTGTATTCCTCACTCAGCTGAGCAGAGTAGTGAAGTTCCGTGCAGCATTGATTCCCACCCACACCTGCCCAGGGATATGTGGTCAGATATTTTCTCTTTGGGAAACAGTCTCCAAGAGAAGAAGGGCTTCCTCTTCCTAATATTGTCCATTTGTAGAATTCTTTACTATCTTTTTCTTGAGACCGGGGTTTCCCCCTGTGAGGTTATTCACTATTTTACCAAGGAGGAAGTGAGATTGAAAGAAAATGTTTAGATTTACACCTCTTTGATAAAAACCTGACTTTCAGTTCACGGGGAAACATGGTCACATTTCCTTCTTTCTCTTGTCCTGCCCTTTAGGATGCCTTGGCACAGCAGGAGTTTTGGCCTATGGACTCATCTGCTTCAAGAAGGGAAATACCCTGCAGTCCCAGAGGATGATGCGGGCACGTGTTCTAGCCCAGGGCTTCACCGTCGCAGCCATATTGGTGGGTGTGGTGGTTACGGCAATGAAACCAAAGAAGTGAACCTGCTACTGTTGTGCCGCCACGTGTGGCTATCCAATATCATACTGAATCTTTCTGCAATGGAGAGGGTGCTTTCCACACCTTGTGTGGTGATATTTTGTAGTGACCATCAGGTGCCAGATGGTTCCGTTAAATATATATATATACTCACATACACATACATAAAGCAGTGTTCACTTATTCAAGTAATTAAACCTTGACACTGGTATATAAGGATTTTTCTGCACTGATATTATTATGACAGGCAGCGAGCGTTTTGCACATGTTCAATTGACTCCCCAAGCGTCACTCTTGGAAATGACCATCCAAGTAGGACCAGAACCACTGCAAAGTGGTGCCACCCACCCTTAAGTCAGACAACCGCTCCAGAAGGATACCATCGTTGATTGTACTGAAAGCCACCGAGAGGCTGAGGAGAATTAACATGGGCACATTTTCCCTGTCTCTCTCCCAACAATTAGGGCAAGGCCACCCCCAAAGAAGATGTTATGGGGGTGGCCCTTGCCTCCCCACAAAGCAGCACCACCATTGGCCTACGTCTTTATGTAGCCCTTACTCCCCTGCTAGAATGAGGCCAGGTGGGTTTTTAATCAGTCAGCCAGCAGAGAGTGGGGTGTTGCAAGCTTCCCTCTGTCCGCTAAAGGTGCAAAAAGGCCAGCTTCTTCAAGAGGAGGCAGCATTCCAGCAGCTGTGGAGGAGGGCCAGATAAACAGCTCACCTCCTCCATTGATGGTCTCTGGCTGCTGCTACCTCCAAGAACAAGGTGTCCGTTCTCTCTTATATAGCCTTGTTGTAAAGCTGGTTTGGCTGACAAGGCCAATCAATATATTGGAGTAAAAGTTATTAGTAAAGCTAATTGGGACAAGTGTCTTTATTACCTTGGGGGCACTTTTGTGCTTCAAAACACTTCGGAAATTGCTCACATTTATCACAAGGCCTGAGGGCTGGAAGGGATGAGCAGAACCTTTGAATAAGAGGGAAATTTACTTCTAGTTGTGGTTACTCTATCTGAAATATTCACATTCGAAGGTGGAGTAGATTACACCTCTTTGCGTCTTTGAACTGAAACAAAATTGTAAGCTTATTCTTTGTTCTCTTCTCCTTGCCAGCTGTTGGTATCTACATGCACTCCTCTTGCACATGCTGGTTGTTTTATTATTGGTGCCAGCTTCTAGCCAACTGCTCTCAGTTCCTCATGCATTCAGTGTCCTGCTCCCACCCCCCCACCCCCCACACAGGAGTTCTTACTTATGTGTAAGAAAAAGATCTTTATCCAGGTAATAGCAGAGGCTTAGCAGCAGACATAGAGCTCAAGAGTCATGATTCAGGAACAAGGCAAGACGTTCAGAACTGGACACAAGTGCTGAAAATGCCCCCAACAAGTTTCCATGACTTGGCCACCACGCTTTTAAAGACAGGGCATGGTACACTCACTCGTGAGACTTGCTTGCCTTGTATGCATGTCCAGATTCCAAATGTGTACTCCATTGAGGAGAGGGGAGTCTGCTCCCATCTGCAAAGATGGCACCTGTTTCTAGGCGACAAGACTGCACCTTCCTGTTCAGTTGCTGCCACCCCCTATTCTGCCTCCACTAAGGCTATCTGCTGTGCAGGAAGCTGGGGGGGGGGGAGCTCTGAAGTAACTGGCATTGGGGTGAAAAGGTGAGGTTTTCCAACCTAGGTTCCCACCACTGAGCTTCCACCCACCCCCGTTTCTTCTTCCTCCTATATCAGGGCCTGCTAATCAAAACTCAGTCCCAACATTCAGGCTGATGACTTGAAAAGCCTGGGTATGGAAATGGATACATGACTTGGGCTGCAACCATCTACCCCCTTACCCTAGAGTAAGCCCCACTGAATTCATTGGGACTTATTTTTGGGTAGATCTGTATAGGATTCTTGTTTATGGTTTATGCTGCACGGTTTGTGACTAAGAAAAGGATGTAAACATGGCTGATCCAAATTGCTGGAAGATGGGTTATGTAAATAAAGCAATTGGGCATCTTGGGACACATGAAGTTTTGAAGACACATGAAGTGGAGTGAGTGGAAAAACTTTATTTCCAAAGCATTATTTCATAACAATGAGTTAAGTATAGTGATGGCTGTCCACTGAATGCATTTCATTTGCTCTGATATAACCATTAGTAATCTGGAACAGTCTGACTTATAAGACAAGCCATGTTAGGCATATTCTTGGCAGCTTGCTCTGCTGAATAAGGCTGTTGATATATTATTAAGCTATTACACGATTAACTATTTTTTTCAGAAAAACCTCTTTGATTGTCCACTTATTGCACTGTAGAATCAAGTTTGTTTACATTTTCCGACTGGTAATTAAATGTAATATTGAGGAAATCTGGTACGCAGAAGGAAGAGGTTTAGCCTAGTTGCCAGATCTGCTGAGGACAATTTATTCTATGAACAAATTCTTCATGCCAGTTGCTAAGGAAAAACAGATGCCACTAAAATAGTTTGAAAATGGGGCACTTTGCATTCAAGAGCTATATGGCCCAAATCATGTAGAAGATCCACTTCATTAGATGGGAAGTTTGATACTGGATGAAGAGACATCAGAGAAGAATATGCAGAATGTTATTCTCAGATTTTTGGGAGTAATTGGCAGCAACTTCTATTTTGTGTTGTATAAGCTCAGCAAATTGAATAGGTGCTGTGGAAATACTAGGGAAGCAAATAAGTTTTCAACAAAGAGACCTTCACAGAAAAGCTTTCCATTATTCTTTCTGCAACTACACCCAATATTTTGTTACTTGTTCTCAGTTTGTCATCACCCAAAGTAATAGTGCCAGCATGATTCTTTTACAGCTCAATCTGTTTTGAGAACTGGTCTTAATTGGACCTGGATTCTGTGGCAGCTGTTTCCTATACACTGGATTGAATTTTTAAAATTCAATTTAAAGCTATCAATACCCATTGAAGTGAAGACTCTTCAGTATAGCACTGCGTTTGTTTCCTCAGAAGTCCTGCTAAATACACAGTGGCCTACAGCAAGAATAGGGAACCTGTCATCCACACGCCATTGGACTACAATTCAACCTCATGACGGGTTGATGGGAGTTATAGTCCAGCAGACATCTGAAGGTCCACAGAGTATCTTTCAATTCCCTACCAACAGAGATGGGGAACTTGTTGCCCCTCTGATGTTGGACTTTCTTCTTTAGCCCCAGTCAACATGGCCAGGAATGATGGGAATTGTAGTCCATCAACATCTAAAGGGCCACAGGTTCCTCATCTAATGGTATCTACTGGTATGTAATGGTGTATAAGATTGTATTGTGAGGTGTTAATGGCCAGCTGTAAACTCTAGTCTTGTGTAGATAAATAAGCAGATACTGACATAGCCAAAGCAGTTCCTGAGTCTAGAGGCATGAGCAACCAGCACAAAGTCAAAAGAATTTGCCACCAAGTAACAACGTTATATGCCCCTCTCTCCCTTCTAGTTATGTTTGTATATTAATAAGTCCAAATCCTTTCACTGAAGCTGTTCTTTATTTTGGCTTTACTATTTGCAGCCACAAAATAAGAACTCTGCAATAAACGATTGCAACTACAATGGGGCAGTGTTAGTTGATAATTTTTAATGTTTAGCCTTAGCCCTGTTCCTCCTAGCTCCTCCGTCACAATGGCTGCTTGGACATTAAGAATTTTAGATTCTCCAGGAGACTGGGCTTCTCCTGAATTAGCAGAAAGGCAGAGGTATCAGAACTGTTAGCTTTTCCAACAAAATTTCAGGGTGCAGAGGTCAGAAGGAAGATGTCTGGGCAGAGTTGTCCTACAGATTCATCCTGCCCCACCAGCAGCAATTCATTCTTGTCTTTTTAACAAACTAAGTGATGTTTAAAAATGAGAATTACTCCAACTTTATGAGAGAGATGCTCAGTGCCTTACAGAAGGAAATGTAGAACATAACTTATTTATGCCTAAGCCCAAAATATGCTTGGCTTATGTTGTCAGGCAAACATTAAATGCAGTCTGTTGCTTTGCTGACTGTCAATGCAGAGTGCATAAGTTTAGTTTTATTTGCCAGTGGGGAAAGAGGAGGCATTTCCAAGAACACAAGACTAGCTACAACAAACTTGTAGTTAGCTGCTTTCTTAAAGTGCATTACAATTCTTTCTAGTGAAGTGTGTGGATATAATTCTACCTGTCTCAGACAAATGTACAGGCAGGCAACTTTTCATCAAGGTAACAGAATGTACCTGCCTGAAAAGATGAGTTAAAAGCTAATAAGCTTGAACCATCTTCTATTTCATAAAATTGGGGGTAATTAGAGTGTGCTAAAGAAGTGGATTTTTCCTTCTTGTTTCAGAGAACGTTTAAAATGAAAAAAGGAATTCAAATATGTGTCTGTGAACATAGGAAAACTACGGCTCATTTAAAAACATTCTGTATTTACGGCTTAAGAAAAGTTTGCCCCATAAATACCTTATAAACCAAGGCTAGAACTTTTTAATATAATACGGAGTAAGAAAAATCTATTATTAAGTGTGCCTCCCAAACATTGCTAACATAATTTCTTTCATAAGCTTCTTATGTGGAACTTGTCTAAGGAAGCAACACCATGAATGCTTACCTAAGAGTAATTGTCACTGGAGACAGTGGAGCTGCCAACTAACCGTGCCTAGTATCAGTCTCTACGTGTCTAAAAACTCCCAGTGCTGCTTCAGAGAAAAGTATTCAAAATGGTCATCTCCCTCCTATAACAGAGGATTGCAAGGCTTCAGCCTAGGGCCCAGTTGGGGAACCTGTGGCCTTCAAACTGGCCAATAATTAGCCCCAGCTAGCATGGTTGGTGTTCTGGTAGTCTGGTAGGTCTTGTAGTTCAACAACAACTGAGAGGGTCACTTGCTCCCCAACTTTGGCCTAGGATATTAATCGCCCCAAATATTCTCTTCCCCCATTATTTCAAAGAAGCATGGAAAGAAAGATTCTGTGACTGTGAATGGAGTAGTGGCAGTTTATTGATAATAGGTGGTTTAACAAAGTCACAGATCGTAATGTTGGGGGACAGAGCAGCTGCAGGCAAAGCTCCCGCCTCCCCCAAGTGCCCCCCCAGCTTACTGCTGCTGCCACTTGGGGTGCCAGACATAGTAGTAGTGAAATTCTGGGCTGACTGGGTGATTCCAAGCAGGGGCTGTTTCTTGCTACTGGACTCCGGTGCAGATATCCATCCCGGGGTACAAAGCAAACAGCTTGGTTTCCAGAGGATACGGTGAGGAGTCGTCAGACCACCAATGCTCCCAGCTGTCTCCTCTATGCTGTGAAGTTCTCTGTAGCTGATGGTGGAAGAGGGAGCTGCCATCAGTCTGGAATCTGTCACTCGTCTCTAGCTCTTCAGGTAACTTGAATGTGGATTGTTCAAAAGGAAACATCCCTAAAACAAACCCTTGTGAAGAGATATAGTTTTGTCTGCGCTTCTCTTAGCTAGCAACAACAGCCCCCAAACAGAGAGTTGTAATGCAGTTGTCACAAACTTTATATTGCAAATCAAAGCATCTTTGGCCAACGGGGCATGTTGGACAAAGACTGGGCAGGCTTTTTGAGCTGCATATACTGCAAGGCTCCCTCGATCCTGCAAGGTTGTTGTACTGCATAGGGTTTGTTTCCAAAGCTGTTGGGCTCCTGATCAGAGAGAAGCATGAACCTTAATAAACATGTTACCTAAAAGAGCTGCCTTTCCCCATAGGAAGACATCCTTTTTTCTGGAAGCTGCCAAGGCCCAGACCAACCCACTTTTTAACACTGTAAACCGTTTCCCCTGCACGACGCTTATCACATCATTTTTGAAGAGCAAGGTGCTGATGCGACAATCCACATGTGAAAAATTCAAATGTTGTCAAAAGCTCCTTGAAAGAACTTTCCTGGGATAGGAACTTCCGTTTCCTCTGTGGATCTTTTTTTTTATACACATGCTTCACTGTTCAAAAATGATACGGTGAGCTTAGCGCACGAGGACCTTAACACATTAAATAATATACATGGACATAAGCAAAATCACAAAGCAGCTCCCTGCAAAACCAACCCAAGTAAGGAGGTGAACCCTGATCATCTATGTATTCTGTGCTTACAGCTGTTTCTGCGGTCTTGAAAACTTCGCCAACAATGCACAACCAGCCCAGATCCCCCTCCCCCAAATGGCCATATATTCCTGAGACTCCAAAATACGCACTTGCAGCCACATGTGGCCATTGTGCTTTTCTGCTATTAGGTTCACATTCACTCAAGGTGGAGAACCTTCATTAGAGGAGCCAAGCAGCCCCTCACAGCAGAACATACACCCAATGGGAAAATGAGCAATCTGTCGGCTCCTCTCCTGGTATAAAGGAAGAGACGGCAGGAGCCTAAGATACAGGCCAGCAGTATGGAAAGGGACAAATACTACAGAATCATCACTCTTCACACAGCACTGGGAGAGTGGACTGGTCTCAGTGTAATTTCAGCTCTACGTTTGTTTGTTACCTGGGCTGGGGAAACCTAATGGCAGCAAGGTCATCAGCTGCACCATAAGGTGTCCAGCAAATCTCTGAATCTTTATAGAGGGAAATCAGCCTTCAAATCAAACGTGCAGGCTGAAATCCTACACCCACTTACTTAGCAGTAAACCTCATTGAACTCCATGGAACTTACTTCTGAACAGACATGATTGTGCTGGTAAAGTGTTTTAAAACTGCAATCCTGTGCATATATATATATATATATATATATATATGGAAGAAAGCCCTGTTGGATATACTGTGGCACTTTGTTCCAAGCTGCACAGGAATGCGTTCTCAAGTACAGTATTTGATTTGGGGGTGTTGACTTACTATGGGTGGCGGCAGTAAGAGAATGGACCTTGGCTTGCTTAGAAGCCCAAAAGGCATAGACAGCTCCTAGTGGGAGATGAGTACAGAATTGCCCTGCTTTCATCTACCTTCCCTTTGAAGCACACAAACTGAAAGAAGCAATCTCTCCGAGAAAAATCCAGTTAACCCCATATCACGTCCCTGTGCTTAGTGTTGCCTTTGCAAATACAGAATAATATGCCTTGAGGGGCACATGTGTGCATGTAAATGAGAGAGGTGGGGAATGAGAATATGAAGGAAGTGCTCAGGATTCTTTCTTGTATTCTTCCCCTTCTACATCACCTAAGCCAAAACAGGCTTTTGATTCAGGAATAACTAACTGGTGGTGGGGAGAAACAGCATTCCACTTAGTGGAAGCAAGTCTTAGCACAATGGCTTGTTGTCGTTTCCCCCTGCAGCTCTTTCATGACTTCAAACAGATCTTAAGTTCAGTCCCTCCATTACAATTTTAGCACACCAAGTCTTTAGGTCAGTTTTCCTCATTGCCCTCTCCCTTTTGTACATCCCTCCCCGCCGCCCCCTCCCCAGGGCTTGCAGACACCCTCCTCTTTCTCTCCCAAGCCTGTCAGGCACCAGCTCGGAAGCACGACTAAGCTCCAACACTCTACCTACTCTTGAGGGTCACCGCTCACTCTCGCTGGGGGTAAGCAGCAACAAGAGCGGAGCCCCTAACTTGGGGAATCCTGCATGCAGCCTTGGGCTCCAATTGAGTGGTGCCTCCTGGGTCTGGTACAAAGTATTGGGAAAGTGAACTGTGTTTTGCCTACTCTACCGGCCAAGTCTCATGGGATAAGCAGGGGCCAGGGAAGCCTGTGAATGCCCCAGATGCTAAAACAGGGAGTGACCTTTCTCGAAGGCAGCAGGTGTGTGAACCAAGGAGGGCAGCTGCCCAAGGAACCACGCAGTTAATAAATATGTGGAAAAAGATACCAATGCACCCTTTAAGCAAAGTAAAACCAAGGGGAGGGGTACAGGCAACCACTCGGCCCGAGTGACGCAAACGCACGGAGGAGAGAGGAAGGGGCAGGGGTGGGATGCTTTTGGTGTCCCCTACTGGTGGCCGTCTAAGCCTGTTGTTGTGCAGCAGCGAAATCCGCTGGCCAAAGAGCAACTCGGCATCCTCACCCCGGCCCCCGGCCCAGCCCCCAGCCCCTTTCCAGCTTGGCTAGCGGGCCAGGGGTGTCTGTTTGAGAGAGATCAGCACAGAGCGCATGCGCGACACATCCTTGGACTGCTTGCTGCTCTTGGGGTTGAAGTCACAGAGTTGGGCCACTTTCTCCCATTCGGTGCCGGGCATCTCTTCCTTGGACTCCTTCATGAAGGCTTCCTCCGAGGCCCTGGAGAAGGAGGCAAGCGAGCAAAGGGTCAGGCTCAGAAAAAGAAGCAGGCAAGCACCTCCTTATCTATGGTACTATGCCAGTCAGGTAGCCAAGAGGAATTGCTTGGTTAACTGGAGATTGAAAATAGATTGCCTTTCACATCAAAAGAAGATTAAAGGGCACTGCCACTTACTTATCAGGAAAGAACAATCAACAATAAAGGAACAGCCTTAAGTGGCAGAGAAACACAAAGCACAATTAGTAATGGAAACACTTTCCTCACGTGTCATGTTTGTTATAGCTGCTATAATGTCTCGTTGCTTTATGTGTAAGTTATTTCGGAATATGTTTGTATTTCTAAGTCGCTTTCAGTTCACCTTTCTGAACTCAAACAAATTAATATTATTTGTTTCCTTTTCTGCAATAAAAAGTTCTCAAAAGAAAAGAAACAGCACATAAAGATCAGCCAAAACCCTCTTGGGATAGGAATGGCTCTGAGTACAACAATATCAAAGAAGCACTAGACTTTCTAAAGGAAACTGGGGGAAACTATTCAGTCAAATGGCTGCACTCACGCTCTGAATATATGCCTGGAAACTCTCTGTATAAAAGGGAGGAACCAATGCAGCATTAGCCATCCTGAAACATTTGCACAAGCCCTTTCTTCACTTGTAAAATGTCTGGCAACAAAGAGACCCTCAAATGCACACCTGAGCTCTTGTGTAACTAGCAAACTTAAGCTTAGGGAATAGAGCCCAACAGCCGCATACAGGAGATCCACTTAGGAAAGGACCCAAAGGGGAAAAGAGCAATAGAGAGACGTACACGTAGCCAATCACATCGGCATCCGGCTGCTGGTAAAAGGCTTTGTCAGCAATCCTACGGTGTGACCCAGAGACAGAAGAAAGCAGCACAGCAGAGAGGCAGCAAAGAGTTAAAGAGAGAAAGGTGGGTTAGTGCCCTTGGAGGAGCAACAGAATCAGACAAAGCAGGAGAGGAGGCATGGGGAAGCTCCCATGGGTTGGTTAGAGATTCATTAGTCAAACGCTTAGGAGTGACAGACGGAAGCCCCCTTATGGAGATGAAATATTTGGCATGGTCCATAACCCCACAAAAACAGAGACAGCAGCTTCTAGGAAGCAGCGAACCCAAATCTTAGATTGACTGCAAGGGAGTCAAAGGAAACCCACCCAGAATGTTTGCAGTAACTAGTCTGGCAACGCCTTGAAGTCATGCAGCAGATAATGTGGAAAGGCTCGCCTGCGTGTTGCAGATCTGAATGCAAGAGTGACCAGTCTTGCTGCCTGGTGAGGCACTCTCACCAGAATCCATTACAGTGGTACCTCGGGTTACATACGCTTCAGGTTACAGACTTCGCTAACCCAGAAATAGTGCTTCAGGTTAAGAACTTTGCTTCAGGATGAGAACAGAAATCGTGCTCCGGCGGCACGGCGGCAGCAGGAGGCCCCATTAGCTAAAGTGGTGCTTCAGATTAAGAACAGTTTCAGGTTAGGAACAGACCTCCGGAATGAATTAAGTACTTAACCCAAGGTACCACTGTATTTGGCCCATATAAATTTATTGCACAACTGTGATGGTGTGGCCTGGTAGAAATACGGTTCAGGGTTTTTATCTCCAAGCTCCCTTACCCAGCCTGCCCCCAGGGATGTGTGGGAGCCAAAAGAGCGAGGTCCCTTTTCTCAGGCTGCGCTATGGCTCCCAGGGGAAGCTCTGATACTTTGGCAGGTGCTGGGGGTGAAGTGAGCTATTATTGGCAGGGGCTAAAAGCTGTCCCGCCCAGTCATACCTGTTGTTGGCCCTGTTCCTCTCCATCTGCTCGTTCTGCCGCAAGTTCCACTCTTCCAAGTCCTTCTTGGCCTTTTCACGCCATTCCTGCTCTAACACCTTGGAGGTCACATCTGAAAGGAGAACGACACATAACTGCTGGGCAGAAGGATGGCGACAGAGACAAGTCTCAGCCGCAGCCCAGCACCTCACAAAGCTGGCCCTGAGGAGATGCTGAGAATAAAACCTAGGACCTTCTCCATGCTAAGCAGATGCTGTACCAGTGAGCTGCTGTCCTTTTGCCACAGCCCTTGGAAGGAAGCTGAGGCAGGGAGCTGCTGGCTGTAACAATATGGAAGAGCCCCTTCACAAGATATAGCCCAAGTGCTGCTCTAAGCAGTCTCAGAACACAGATAACAAGGGCAAAGATGTGGGCACACAGGCAGTGGACTAAGTGGAAATGAGGGAGGAGCATAAGCACTAGGAGACAAATCAGTGTACACCCAACTAGTCAGGCTCTGTGTTATGAAGGAGGCCTACTAGTTCTGTATATCCAGCTGAAGCCCCATGAAAATAGCTCTCCTGAGGTGAAGCTTGTGGCTAAAATTCTGTCTAGAACCCCTAATGTATATGTCTTTCCCTACTGCCTTCTCACTATATTTGGATGTTTTAGGTTCCATTGCCATCTTCTTAATTATTCTATGTTTCCCAACTCCCTCAGCCCCAGCCACATATACGTCCCTATTATCCTAGTGGCTTTTCATCCCCTGCAACCCTCTACAGATCTACAATGACTTTTTCATTTTACCCTTTAAAGTTCTTCCTTGTAGCCTTTTCTCTGATGAAATCCTCCTACCCCTCAATTCATTATTCACAGGTTTCTGCTCCTGGGAGCTGGCTCTCCCATTAACCAGAGTGAGGAAGCTGATTTGGGGTGTCAAACTGTTACTTATTTTAATTTGTTGTATTTTTATAGCCATGGAAGAGAGGCACACTTGGGACAATTTTCTGCCTCTGGTGCCCAAATAACTTGACTGGCCTTGGGTACTCAGCACCGCCTCAGACATTTTTGCTGGCTGGGGCTGATGGGAGTTGTAGTCCACAGCACCTGGACAGAGCCGGATTGACAAAGTATGTCATAACAGCTTGGGCCAGCTCCGTCTGCCCCTCAAAAATCTGCATTAGAAGTACAAAACAGACATTTGTACAGTTTATATTTGCTCCTTCTCATTCCTACCCAACTCCTGCAGTCTCTTTTTCTGCTCCTCTCGCCATTTGCGGATGCTCTCAGGCTCCTGCGTCAGCCGGTCAGCTCTAGCAATGGCTGCATAGGCATCCGTGGGCCCATTGGATTCCTTTAAGCAAAAGCAATAGTTCGTGAGATCCAGGATCTCTTTCTTTATTCATAAAAGCATTTATGTATCACTGTATCATAAAATATATCAAAGCAGTTTGCAATAATATCTATGTAAAATAAAACACATACAATATAAATAAATAATAATAATAATATTTTTTTACTTATACCCCGCCCATCTGGCTGGGTTTCCACAGCCACACTGGGCAGCTCCCAACAGAATATTGAAAACAATACAAAACATCAAACATTAAAAACTTCCCTAAACAGGGCTGCCTTCAGATGTCTTCTAAAAATCAGATAGTTGTTTATTTCCTTGACATCTGATGGGAGGGCGTTCCACAGGGTGGGCACCACTACAGTGGTGCCTCGCAAGACGAAAAGAATCCGTTCCGCGAGTCTCTTCGTCTTGCGGGTTTTTTCGTCTTGCGAAGCAAGCCCATTAGCGGTTTAGCGGATTAGTGCTACAGTATTAGCGGCTTAGCGGGCTTAGTGGATCAGCTGATAAGCGGCTTAACGATAAGCTGATAAGCGGCTTAACGATAAGCTGATAAGCGGCTTAGCATCAGCTGTTAAGCGGCTTAGCCATCAGCTGATAAGCGGTTTAGCGGCTTGGGAAAAAGGGGGGGAACAAACCCCGCAGGAACTCGCAAGACATTTTCGTCTTGCGAAGCAAGCACATAGGAAATTCGTTTTGCGAAGCACCTCCAAAACGGAAAACCCTTTCGTCTAGCGGGTTTTCCGTCTTGCGAGGCATTCGTCTTGCGGGGCACCACTGTACCAAGAAGGCCCTTTGCCTGGTTCCCTGTAACCTCACTTCCCACAGTGAGGGAACCGCCAGAAGGCCCTCGGAACTGGGCCTCAGTGTCCGGGCTGCACGATGGGGGTGGAGACGCCCCTTCAGGTATACTGGGCCGTCAGAGTCCATCAACTAACTGTTATGGAAATATGGATTCTGAATTGCCTGCATAAGCCAGGCAGAATAGAAAAGTTTTCAGTAAGCATTTAAAGGTTGAAACAAAATGTGCCTGCTGAATCTCTATTGGCAGAGCATTCCACAGGACCAGGCCAACAACACTAAAGGCTCTATTTTGATGTGGATTTGACATCAAATGAGCTTTGCTAACTTGGGAGAACTTTGGCAACTCACCCAAAACCACAGTTCTGGGTTCCTTCAACCCACAGCCAAGACAACCTCTGTTGGGGAAGCTGTGGAGCAGTAGGGTAGGCATCTCTAACCTGTCTCTTTGACCCAACACCAGATGCAGGCCCCCAAGAGAGAGGAGTTTCCCAGTGGTGGGAAGTGAACTCCTCTCCCATACCCACCCATAGTCTCAGTCAACCACAAGTCTACGTGGGATAAGAAGCAGCATGAAAAGTCTTGCACCAAATTACGGTGAAGTCCTAATCCTAGTTCTCCAGCAGATATAAACAACCTTTTCCCAAGGTCCATTCCGTGAACAAGGTGGAAAAGAATGGAAACTGTGAAGAAGGTTCAAGAGCCCTAGCACAACTGCCTGAAAATTATGGTACTTTTTATTTATTTATTTATTTCATTTATGAATTGCTTCCCATGTGGCATCCCAAAGTGATTTACACACATATAAAACATAAAAAATGTAAAGGACCCCTGACAGTTAAGTCCAGTCGCAAACGACTCTGGGGTTGCGGAGCTCATCTCGCTTTACTGGCTGAGGGAGCTGACGTTTGTCTGCAGACAGTTTTTCCGGGTCATGTGGTGAAACCAGAGCAGTGCACAGAAACGCCGTTTACCTTCCCGCCGGAGCGGTACCTATTTATCTACTTGCACTTGACGTGCTTTTGAACTGCAGGAGCAGGGACCAAGCAACGGGAGCTCACTCTGTCGCGGGGATTCGAACCACCGACCTTCCAATCAGCAAGCCCTAGGCTCAGTGGTTTAGACCACAGCGCCACATATATAAAACATATAACACATATATAAAAGCAATTCTTAAAAATGATCATACATATAAAAAGAGCTTAGAACAACAGCACAGGCCTAAAATCAGTTCAATTCCAAGAGAGATACCAACTAGGGTAAAGATTTCAGAAGGCTTGTTGAAAGAGGAATGTTTTAGCAGGCACCAGAAAGACAATAGAGAAGGTGACCGATATGCAACGGGAGGGACTTTCGAAGGGTAGATGCTGCACACTAAAGGCCCAATTCCAACACCATGTGGAATGAACCGCCTGGTAGGATGGTTTTTGCAGGATACAGTGATCAATTGGGTATGTAGGGGGTGAGACAACATTTTAGGTATCCTACACCCAAGCTGCATAGGGTTTTCTGCATCAGTACGTACCAGCACCTTGAACCTAGCTTGAACCTAGTATAAGCTTATAGGAACAGGTCCTTCTGAAAGCTACACTCCTATGCTGCCCAATAGAAACCCTTCATCAGCCATGTACCTGCCCAGCCTTATCCAACGTGCTATTCGCTGCCAACGTGATTTTCATGTCTGTGCAACAGGCAAGCACCTACAGTTCTAAGGAGGAACGGCTGCAAGCTGTTCCTCTGTGATGTCATCCCTCTGATGTCACAGTCAGTCTTGAGAAGGTTAGTGATCGGCTCTAAAACCACCCTGACGCCACCCAGGGCCATTGTCATGGCAATTACTGCAGCCTCAAGCTGAAATCATGCGGGAAGTGCTAGAAGTGGTCACCTTTATTTAAAGGCTAGTAATCATAGTAATTAAATAAGCCAGCTGCAGCATTTGAGAAGGCCCAAAGTATCGGTTCCATTTGCATACAACATTTTATTGGTCAGTCACTTTGCAGTTGATTATTTACTGGCTCTCAGTGAAGCAGCTCTCTCACCTAGCCTTTCCATCTTATTCCAAACATCAGAATCCATTGAAGCATTTATTTGCATTTTAGATTCCATTTCAAAAAGAAAGCAAATTTCTATGATCAAATTTACACAAATCAAGTAATAAAATTGTTTCTGGACCGGGCCACTGAAGGTGAGGAGGGAGGAGAATGAGATTTCCCTCAAAGCAACAACAGAGTCTTGCCCCATGCAAAAAGCTAGTGGGTCAGGGAGAAAGGTTCAAGTCTCGCATCCCCCTCACCTCTCTAAATGGTTCAGTCCAGGAGCAGTATTACTACAGTTAGGAACTGTACCCTGAAAAGAGTTTTTCCGTGATATAAAAAGATAAATGGGACTGGATGGCAGGTGGAGGCTGAATCTAGTGAGACTGCAGATTACGCCCAGGCAGAGGTCCCCACCACCACTACATCAGGGATGTGGGTGACCTGTGGCCTTATGGGTGTACTTTGACTCCAGCTCCCCTCAGCTCCAGCCACCATGGCCAAAACAGTTCAAAAATCCTTAGGGGGTGAAGGGATAGGAACTCACAGCCAATTCAGGAAAAGGCTTAGGCCTTTTCCACAAATGCCACAAGATTCTTCTTCATTTTTGCACCAACAGACTAACACAGCTAGCTCTCTGGAACAGATACCTGAAGATAGTTAGCTATTCAGTAGTCAAGCTATGCAAGCAGGGACAGGACTGGCTGAAAGCTGAAAGAATCCCACTATAAGAGGGAACGGCTGACCTTACCATTAGGCAACGTGAGGTAACTGCCTGATTTTGAGTGTCATGAAAAGGCAACAAGCTGTTGGCTATTTTATTATGATTGCATTTTTACTGTTAGTGCTTGTGCCAGAATAACTTGTGCAGCCTTACCATTCTGTGGGATGGGGGGCTCTTTCCTACACTGGGCTGCCCCTGAATTCCCACAGAATGCGCTTTCCCCTTAAGTTTCATGGGTCACTACAGAATTAGCCAATCTAATTCTCCCGGTTTGTTTGCCATTCCTTCTTGCAACATCTGTTGTTGAAACAAAGCTGTAGTGCAGGAATAATTTGATAATGGGGCAGAATTGGCCACACCTGGTCTCTTGTGAGAGGCACTGAGGTAAAGACAAGGAATGTGTCACTAGAGAGAAATGTGATACATGGCTAGCAGCCACAGGAAGGGAAACATTAAAGTCAGATGAGGTGGGGTGTGGCAAAAAGGCTGCACTCGCATCTAGTCCTCAAGGAAGTTTTTATCTGCCACCCGGCAGCCTACAACATAGACGCCAACTCCTGGAGGCCGAGGAGTCTGTGCCTCCCCCAATTAAATATTTGAGCCGCCACCCAAGTTGATGGGTATTGCCATTCAGCTGGTGTGTGTGCACCTTGTCATGTGATGGACTGTGCTGGGCAGGGCTTACCTGCCCCCTGCCCCAATACTTTACAGTGGTAGCTCAGGTTACATACGCTTCAGGTTACACACTCCGCTAACCCAGAAATAGTGCTTCAGGTTAAGAACTTTGCTTCAGGATAAGAACAGAAATCGGGCTCCGGCAGCGCAGCAGCAGCAGGAGGCCCCATTAGCTAAAGTGGTGCTTCAGGTTAAGGACAGTTTGAGGTTAAGAACAGACCTCCAGAACGAATTAAGTACTTAACCTGAGGTACTACTGTATTCAAGTTGGCACCCCTGGCCAACAGGTTGTTGCCTAGAGTACTGTGTCCAGTTCTGGTCACCACCGTTCAAGAAGGACACTGACAAACTGGAACGTGTCCAGAGGAGGGCAACCAAAATGGTCAAAGGCCTGGAAACAATGCCTTATGAGGAACGGCTAAGGGAGCTGGGCATGTTTAGCCTGGAGAAGAGGAGGTTAAGGGGTGATATGATAGCCATGTTCAAATATATAAAAGGATGTCACATAGAGGAGGGAGAAAGGTTGTTTTCTGCTGCTCCAGAGAAGCGGACACGGAGCAATGGATCCAAACTACAAGAAAGAAGATTCCACCTAAACATTAGGAAGAACTTCCTGACAGTAAGAGCTGTTCGACAGTGGAATTTGCTGCCAAGGAGTGTGGTGGAGTCTCCTTCTTTGGAGGTCTTTAAGCAGAGGCTTGACAACCATATGTCAGGAGTGCTCTGATGGTGTTTCCTGCTTGGCAGGGGGTTGGACTCGATGGCCCTTGTGGTCTCTTCCAACTCTATGATTCTATGATTCTAGAGTTTTGATTTGCACCAAATCAGCTCTATATTGGGGGCACCACTTTCTTCTTACTTCTCCTGTAACAACAAGAGGACTCCACACTTTCCCCTCAATTCCTAGGCTCTTGAAGGGAAATTATTCCAGCCCTAAAACTGGTGTCCCTCGTGGAATGTGCAAATGAACACATCCACACCTCCAGCCTGAAGAAACTGGCCAAGACTGCCTTAAAAGTCTGGCTGGACTATTTTCCAAAGAGTAAACATGCTTTGACAGATGTGCATGCAAGCACTATTCAGATGTTAGCACTGTCACTCCAATATAATTCCACAAGTATTTCCCAGCATGCCTCAAACTCTCTCTACAACCTTGAGTTTGCTATTTTGGCTGGCTCTCTGGCTATATGAAAGCTTAGGGTCCACAAACTGTTATCTTGTTTGTTACGTCTGGAAGCAAGTAAGAGAGGGTAATGCCATAGTTCAGCAGTCGAGCATCTGCTCTGCATACAAAAGACCTCAGGTTCAATTCCCAACTTCTCTAGGTGGGGGAAATTCCTTGCCTGAAACTCTGGATAGCTTCTGGCAAGTCCCTGTAGACAACACTGAGCTAGGTGAGCCAATGGTCAGACTGTATAAGGCAATGTCCTATGTTCCTAAAGATAGGTGGATTGCTTTTCCAGAATCAAAAGTCAGACCCCAAGGGGGTTCAAGTTGGAGAGGAAAGGCGGCTGCAATTGAGCGCAAAGCTCTCTCAGCTTCACAACTATTGCTGCTTGTCGTGTAGAGCAAGGCTATTGGATTACCCTCCACCCGCACCCGAATCCGGTAATCTAATTAAGTCTACCCATCTCCAGTGGGATTATGCTGCTATAAAGCAAGTCGATACCACAACAAGGAGGGAGTGAAGCGCTCCACAACAGCCGCTGCCTCTCCATCTACCCGAGCAGACCGGGCTTGTTCCTACGTCATGGTGTGGGATGGCATCCGAAAGGGCAGCGCGTGTTGAATTCCTCCTTGGCAGCTTGTAAGTGCTTGCCCACACACAGCATTGTAAGAGCGCTAAGCAACTGGAGGCTAATGTCAGCAGAAACGGGAGGCTAAAGGGCCCGTGTGGAGGGAGAAGGTGCGCTTACAGAGCACCATCTGACTAGAACACAAAAGACAGCACAAAACCATTCTTTCAGCCATCGTATCAGTAGCAATCACAGCAGCACAACATAGGAACCCACCAGATAACCATTCACTTTTCAAGACTAAAACAAAACAAAACAAATTCCAACCAACCCACAGACAGACAACGAAAGCCTCTGACTTCTAGGACTTTGGTCCATTTAGCTCAGTGTTGGCTACACTGACTGGCAGCAATTCTCCAGGATAGCAGGACCAGGGACATTTCCAGCCCTAGTTGGAGAAGCTGCGCATTGAGCAAGTGGCCTTCAGCATGCAAAGAAAGCCAGGTCCTCTACCACTGAGCTGTGGCTCTTCCCCATCTAGATCCACATCCCTGCTATATGTGATGCCCATAAGCAGCTGCAAGGGTTGAATTATTCTAGGGGAAGAGAATGTTATGGCCAATCTCAACTGGAAACAGAAGGGCTGGTGGCTAGTATTCCAGATCACCCACAAACCTGTCCCCTTTTCTTTGAGAAAACTGCAAAGAAGCCAATAGTATAAGATGAGATGCCTCAAAGAACCTGCTCTGAACTCTGGGGGTCTAGTAATTCCTGCTGGGCATCTACTACACAGACTACATTCATTGGTCCCATAGACCACAAGTTTCTCTCAGAGGATCTCACCTGATAGAGGTCTCCGTTCACAGTGGCCCCATTGCTGTCAAAATCAGCTGCAGAAGAAAAAAAATAAAAACATGTTAGTAGCCATTTGTGCCACTTAGGCTAATGGAAGCTGTAGCCAAAAACATCTGGAAGGCAGCAGGTTGGGGAAAGGCTGGTGGAATGGGTTATATTATGGGACCAGCTCATGGTTTGACTGGATTACAAAAGTGGGAGGTCTGTGTCAGACAGGTAAACACAGCAATGTGTGGAAGTTGGAAGACAGAGAGAAAATCCAGAGTCTCAGAATCTGGGGACAGAAAGTGCAGGAATCTGGAATGCTCACCCCTATATTCCAGCACCCCAAAATAAGTCCTAAGTAGCCAAGCCAATGGTTGTGGTTGCTGTTAGTCTCTTTGGTGCAACCTTCTCAGTAAAAGCCAGTCCATCAATTTGCGCCTCATTTTCATTAATCTCTAAGCCCTTGGATAAGGACCTGGTAACTGTGGCACCTGTGAGCAACTGCTGAGATCAGAAGTTCTGCAGTTTTAGAAGCCAGAAGCCTCCTTTCCTCAGCACTGCAAGCAAATCTGATAGCAGGAGATGATAGGAATTTACTTTGAAATAAGTCCCCACTGAGTTAAATGGGACATTGTAATTTTTGCATTGAGGGTAAGGCACAGTGGGATGTTACTAAGAAAAGCTGGTTTGATGAGGGTGCAAATTGTGGGCATGGATTTCTGTAAGCTAGAATTTAATTCATCAGATGCATGAACTGGTGTGGGGAAATAGTGGGAATATAGGAAAGAGTGAGTGGATGTACAATGGAAGAAACAAAACTAAGTTAACAAATCAGCAGCCTGATCCCATACATGTTTACTTAGAGGTCAATGGAAATATATACAGTCCATGAGATCAGCCAGTGCATAAGAAGAAGGGGGCTGGCTCCAGATATTTAATGGGCTGCAAAGAAGCGGGAGATTCCTTGTCAACTGTTTAAACAGGTTCTGAGACTCTAGGCTTCTTACTTGGAGCATGCTTGGAAAGGCCAAATGGGGACAGTGTGTTTTCAGTTCACAAGACCTTTGAAAACAGTAACTATGGCTAAAGAGTGTAACTTTCTTGCTTGGGAAGGAGATCGTTTCAGGGCTCCTGACTAAGCAGAGCCAAGAATGGACTTGTCTTTTTCACTTGTTCTGTTTTCAACAGCAGCATGACATGCAGAAATTAAGAAGCTTTTTTGGCAATGAGATCCAGCAGTGGAAAATCCCCACAACCCAGGCTGATGGCAAAGGCACAGGAGCAGGCCAGCTGAAAAAGTTGACAACCCTCAGCAGAGCTAAGGCAAAGGAGGAGAGTAAGTCAAAGGACAAAGGGGCAGCATTCCTTGTGCTTTTCCCATGGTAAGAGAACCTATTCCTTCCTTTCCTTATGTCACTTCCTTGTAGATGCCCTTGCTTTTCCTTGGCACCATGCACACACCCTGAATATGTGGCTACACCCAGGAAGCCTGGATCTGGTCTGGCAACATTTGTAAGGACTCCTCCCAAAGTCGGCCTTGAGCTTCAGGAGGCCTGTCCCCTAAGAATGGTTCCTTCGTTCTATATCATCTCTCTCCAGCCTAGCACTTGGGCCTAATACTTGCCTGCCTCATCCCAGCCAAGGAAGACTAGTGAGAGCTCTCTCTGTGGGTCACACTGGGGCTGTTCTGCCTTGGGCCAACTGTTCACACCTGGCCAAAAGATGCTAACTATTCAAAGCCCCTAGGTGTAGAAGGGGGCGTCTGCAGCAGCAGCTGGTTGGCCCAGATGGTCTTTGAGACCTCTCCCAACTCTGATTCCCTTCCTGTGGCTGCAGAGGTTGTCCTGAAGAGTAAAAGGCCTCTGTTTCCTATGAGTCCCAAATCCAAAGCACACCTGCTTCCTGACCTAAAGGGCTGAGCTAGAAAAAGAGGACAGTGCTCTACCAAAGACTGCACCAAAAGCAGGCAAAGTTATAATTTGTAGCAGAGGCAAAGACATCTCTGCCAGGATGCAGACGGCCAAGGCCTCGGGGATGGCGGACAGGGAGTACCACTTCCTCTTCTCCCACCCCAAGGAGAGACAGAGGAACCTCAGAGGCTCCCTCCAAGCCATCCTTCTGTCCGCCGCTTCATCTTTATACCCAGGCCGAGGAGGAATGCACAGAAACACGGGGAGCTGCCCCAGCACCGAGTCCGGCAACTGGTCCATCTAGCGGCGGTACTGGCAGCAGGGTCGTTCCCAGCCCTACCCAGAGGTGGCTGGGAGGGAACCCGTGACCTTCTGCATGCCAAGCAGGTGTCCCGCGGCGCCTCCCCCGCCCGCACCCCCGAGAAGCCCGGCTCGCCCGCCGCATCTCGGCGCAGGCCCGCGCGCCGCTTCTTTGCCCTTCGCCGCTCCGGCTCACCCGGCGCCTCGGCTGCCTCCTGGCTGCCTCCCGCGGCCCCGTCGGCGGTGCTGAAGCCCTCGTCGTTCTCGATGCCCGCGATCTCGCTCTCTTGCTGAGCCAGGAAAGCGGCGGCCGGGTCCTCTTCGGCGGCCTCGGCTGCTCCGCTCTCCGACGAGGAGAAGAAACCGAAATCATCAGCCATGTTGCCTCCCCCACCCCGCCAGCTGCGCCTCCCGACCCTTTCCTTCCTCGAGGACGACGGGCAGGCGACCCGAGCGGCGCCGACGGCGCTCCTTGGCTGCAAAGGTAGGCGCAGAGAACCGCCGAGCGACGAGGAAGCCCGGGCTCAGCTGTCACTGCGGCGGCGGCGTCGGGCGGCGGCGGGAGGAGCCTCGCCGCGAAAGGACGGGCGAAGGGAGGTGACCTCACCAGCCAGGCTGCCGAGGAGCCCCGGAGCCGCGAGGGGGAAGCACTGCGGCGCCTCCTGCTTGCCATCGGGCTGGCCCGGCGGAACCGCCGCCGTCGAAAATCAGAGCAGTTCCGCCCAGGGAGAGTTTTGCCAGCAATCGTGACGGCGGCAAAAGATGGCATCTTTGGCTAGTCACCCTTTGCAGCCCTTCTGGAAATTCCAAAATCCAGACAATAAGGGCAATTAGGCCAAAAATTGATTTGATTAGGCCAAAATGGCACAAAATAGCTTTTGGGCTTGCAAAGTTCTCCAGAGCTCTTCATCGGGCTATGAAGTGAAACTAAAAGGAAAAGATGGCTGATGGTGCAAGCCAAGGACTCTGCAGCTGGGCTGCAGGCTCAAGCTGGAATGTTAGCTAGGGAAGGTAGCAGACATTCCAGTGAAGCTCGGTTGGGTGTCTTGCAGGTTTCAGTGTGCACCAAAGGTTGGTTAGGAGGAGGAAGAGACAAAAAGTAGTTGACACATACACACACAGATGGGAATATAAAGTCCAGCTGTCACTCAGGCCTGTCTACATCCTTAAATGAAAAAACACAGATTCCTTGGTAGGTGAAACCAGGAATAAAGAGAAACTTGACAGTGTGGTGTTATGAGTTTGCAGGTGCCAGACCTCTCTAATCTCCAGATCCAGTAAATGTTAGAATTTAATCAAGGGTTGGGGTGTTAAGGTGAGTAGGAGGCACTTCTAATCGCTGGATTCAGCAAGTGTTAATAGTTAATCAAGCCGGGTTAATCTCCTTAAGGAAATAAAGTATTAAAGGGCTTGTGCTAGACAGCAAATGGATAGGGCCCCATTACTCAACAGACAAAGCCAGAGTTTAGAGTAGAGAGGTTAGGAAAGATGTGACCTAGAAGAAAAGCAATGTTAGAGACCAATGTTTGCTTTCTGTTTGAATCCAAGACTGCAGCGATGGGAACAACATGATCCTCTTGGGGTGTTGATACTGTGAGCCCCTCCATTGTAGGCTCAGGTTGTACATATGTACATATAAACCATATATCCTAAAGACACCACGGTGTCTGCTGTGCCTCACTTGCAAAAGGAAACACAAACTCTGGGTAAGTGCCTGAAACCCCTGGAATCTCACACCGCTCAGATATTGGGGTGTCACGCAACAATATTAACAAAGCCAGAGATTCATTCTAGTGATGTGCTAGGAAAAAACAAACCCGAACCCCCAATAGTGAGCTTTTAATGCCATATTGGGCTTCACTGTATAAATTAATTTAATTAAAAATAGTTATAATCCACCTTCACCTAAAGGTCTCAGGGTAGAAATGTATTTGGTCCAAACCCAATAATTAAACAGCATTAAACAAAATGCATAATTTAGATACCACCAGCAGCAACCTACAATCAAATATGCAATACACCCCACTCCTCCCTGAAAGCCCGGGCAAAGAGATAGATGTGTCTTCACCTGCTGATGAAACAACACTGATGTTATGGCAAGCCGTACCTCAGGGGGAGATCATTCCAAGGGTGATGAGCCACTGCAAAGAAAGCCCAGTCTCTGGGCCATTTAGATGAGAAGCAGCCTATTTCTTACTTACCTGCAGAGGCCAATGTATAAGGCAGAGACAATATCCTTCAAAGAATCCATCTCACAGTCTTATTTCAGCTCAATGAGCTTTGCACTAGTCTATCTTATTTGTTCATTTCATTTCTATACCACCAGGGCATTGTACACAAAAATCCAATAAAAATGCATCCCACTGTTGTAGGTGGGACCACAACCAGGGCTTCCCTTGGTGATCTGAAACCTCAGTCCAGCAGATATTTGGAGAGGCATTACATTGAGAACGTGGTTCCCAGGATGTCCAGGGCTTCATACACCAGTATGAACTCCTTAAATTGGGTTCAGAAGCTCAATAAGGATCAGTGAAATAGGATCCCCTTTCATAACACCACTCAAAACCCAAGCAACTGGATTCTGCACCAGCTGCAGTTACCAGACCATCTTCAAGGGCATCCCTATGCATTTATACCCCACCTTTCTTCCAAGGAGCTCAAAGTAGTGCACATTGTTCTTCTCCCTCTCCATTTGAACCTCAAGGTCACCCAGCAAGCTTCATGGGGTTTCGAACCCTGGTCACCCAGGTCCTAGTCCAACCCTCTAACCACCACACCACATGGGTGTAATTTGATTTAAAACATTCTTGGTGCTCTTTTCTTCCAAACTGTCCTTGCCTTTGCACTTCACTGCTCAGTCAAGGAGGAGAGCAATGGCAGGTAGCCGTTCTGCAGCCATTCTGATTGTTGCATTAAGGATGAGAGCAGAGGAATGGAGCCACTGGATAAAAATTGGCTCAGCCAGTTGTTTCCATGTGGGGACATTCCAGCCCACTGAACTTCACTGCTGCTTATCATCAGTAGTTTAGTGGCAGAAAAACTCAGATATTTGCCTGCCATCCCTCTCCACAAGTCACCTGGCGTGTTAGCATGTAATGTCATGTTTTCTGCAAAGTGGGGAACTGAAAAGGCCTTTTTCTGAGCTTGTTTATTATTTTTGTAAGCAAATGTTGGAATTATATAGATCAGCTTATCAGTGTACATAAATTGTGATGTGCAGGACATATATTGATTTCCCTATGCTTAGTTAGTGAAACCCTCCACAATTGCATCTATAGAGAATCCCACATGCATGGTGTTATTTCTCCCCAGTGTTGGATTGCAACTCAGGCACTGGTGCTCAGTAATGATATGCTTTCACAAGCCTTAGTATGCATTCCACATCACGGCTCTGAAAGGCATAGCTGGCTACAGGCAAGATTAAATGACACTTGTATGTTACTGACCTCTAGTGGTGGCCTATTTTGTGACACACAAATATTATCGGTGGCAATATACCGTAGGATTTTGTTTATAACAGGGCCTCTGGAATATCACCCGGCCTCATGTGCTGCCATCTTTCAAGAAACTCTCTAGGTAGTTAATTACTACTAAAGATTAGCTTGTTTTTTTAAAAAATGCAGTCAGTCATGTAATTATCAATTCACATGCTGGACAGCTGGTGAATGGCACCCTTTGATGCCAACCCACCATATGTTATGTGTTATATACACATAATACATTTAAAGAAAATTCCCCTACCCCAAGAATCCAGGGAATTGTAGTTTGCTAAGGTGCTGAGAACTGTAGCTCTGTGAAAGGTAAACTATAGTTCCCATGATTCTTTTTTTTTTTTTTTAGGGGAGATGGATGTGCTTTAAATGCAAGCAATCAACATCTGGACAAATTTTCATTAGTTCACAAACCATAAAAATCACTGCATCATCATCATGATAATGATGATAATAATGATCTAAATTAAAAATACTAGAATGTGAAAGGATACTTCCTAAGCTATAAGAAAATAGAAGTTACAATTTCCAAAATTAGTTGGCCACCTGGCTTCATGGACATGGCTTTCAATTGGTTTGCCTTCAATATGAGCCTTTGATTTCCCTATCACTAATATAGGGGCATTTACTTATGTATTGTCTTCTGCCAAATGCTGACAGGCACAACAGAAGTAACTATGATTTAGTTTAGATTCTTGCATTGCAGGGGTTACACTAGATGACTCCCAGGGTCCCTTCCAGCTCTACAAGTCTATGATTTTATGAGCTACTCCAAGATCACATTGACTTGCTTATCAAGATGACTGTCTGGCTTCAGATAAATAAAGGGTACTGATGCCAATGGAAGCTTTCTTCCCAATTCAAATAGTAGCTTCAGAGGAGCATGTTTTGTCAATAACATGGCAGGGGAGGAATGGGTTAAACCTTCCCTCTGTATCTGCTGTGATTCAGGTCATTATCACCCTACCACACACCACTGCTTTTTTAAAAATGTGCACATTACTTGCAAAGATGCATTTAACATCACAAGTCATTTGACCTTAATAGACCAGGAGTGCATAGCTTTAAAATTTCCTAATCTGACTTTTACATTTCTTTTTAACTCAGGAGAACCGCACTGCTACATTAATCATATGAAAATGGTGATTTGAAAGAAAAAGAAAATACGAACCAGCCCCAATCAAGGTTGTAAAAATTATATATTCAGTACAACATTCATAAACCTTAGTTTTTACAAAAACCCTACCATTTTTTTAGGCAATGCAAGCAATACAAACATGAAATGCAATGCATGTTAAGTACTTTCTCACATTTTAAATTGAGTATTTCCTTCTAACTTTTTTCCTCTGCATGACCTCTTCTCTCTCTCCTCTCCCTTTTCTCCGTTCAGTTTGTTGTTGTTCTGTTTGCTGCTGCTGTTCAGCTTCTGTCTGCTTTCCCCTTTCTGCTGAATTCAACATCAACAGAACACAAAGCTTTCACTCTCTCAGAAACTGACAGCAAGAGTGGCCAGGTGGTCTAGGCAAGGGAGCCAGTGGGCTGCAAGATGCATCTGATAATCTGGTGCCAACTCACCCACATGTGCCACTGAGTCCAGGGAGAGGAGGAATAATGCAGATATATAGTGGTGCAGCCATCTGTGCCCCTTGGCCAAACTTTAATATTCCCACAAAGAAGCGATAAACGCTTGCAAATAAAGGGCATTTGGAATTCTGCCCGGGGGGTGGGGGGGCTACAGTTCAAACTCCTGAGCTCACCTTTCATAACCAGAACTTTAGAAGCTACCCCAAACAGACAGGTAAAATATTGCACACACTCCAAGTGTCCCTATTTTCCAGGGCTGTCCCTGATTTAGAGAAGCCACCCCAGTTTCTGATTTAATCCTGGAATGTCCCACTTTTCCTTACGACGTCCCTATTTTCATTGGAGAAAATGTTGGAGGGTATGGAGTTATCCAACCCCTGAGCCATCTGAAGGCTATTCTGTATAGGGAAGGGTTTTTTAATGTTTAATGATGTTTTTTATATATGTTGGAAGTCGCCCAGAGTGGCTGGGGCAACCCATTAAGATGTGTAGGGTATAAATAGTAAAATTATCATTATGTAATGGGACATCCCTATTTTCATTGGAGAAATGTTGGAGGGTATGATATTGCTCATATCACAACATATGCTTGCAACAGCAAAGACTTAGGTCCAAGTTTGTTTAACGAACTTGGAACTAAGGCAAATCATTGAAAAGTGAGTCTTTTCATTCTGAGTGGCAGAAATGGATGAGTGTGTGTGCACCATAGGCATAGTGCTGTATCCAATAGTGGCTCTGTGTTAGTGGGGAAAGACTTCCACTAATGCAACAGGATTTTCCCTTCATCTTCTCCCCCACAGCAGCTCATACACCCTCAATGCTGCACCAGTGGGTTTCCACAGGCACAATAGAACTTTCATTAGCTCTTCTCCCCCCCCCCAAAAAAAAATCTGTTCAAGAGGGCATTCCAACCCTCCAGAGCTAATGTTGAGAGTGGAGTGGGAGGCTAAGGAGACAGGATAGGAGAAGCTCCATTGCATGCACCCAAGCCTGGCAGTTTGTACAATTTGAATCATTCAAAGATGAAGAACCTGTTGTAGCACCCTGCTTGTGGTTAACGCTTAGCTGGAATGAAATCTTCAACGCAGCAATAGAGAAATTAAAATAATAATTTATTTGTCAGACAAATAAATGAGAGACACAGTGGTATATGGTTACCAAAGCTCTGCCCACTCCAGCCCTGATGGCCAGCACTTATATTCCCTCAGCCCAGCCCCCTTGCTCCTCCTTTGGCTGCCTCTGTCCAATCAGCCTGGTTGAAATTCCTATTGGCTGTTTGCTAGAACCAATCATAAAAGATACACCCATTTCCTATTACCTTTTATGGGAGACAAAGAGCTATATTTCCTTCTATCCATAAATGGCAGACAAGTAGCCATATATCTTACATTTGCCTCGACCAGGCACCTTAATTATCAGATCATCTTTGCCCTATTGCCCTATTACCCTATTCACTCCAGAACAGATGGCTAATGGTTCTAATTTTATCTTAAACAGAGATCTTGGGTTCACCTTCTCACACACCATCAATGAAATAAGAATCTAACATAAGAATCTAACATTTCTTACTTTCTAAATCCTTTGCATAATTACATTTAAGCCAATATATTTCATACATAACATAGATAGATTTTTAGAAGGAAAGGCCTTTTCAAAGTAAAAAAGAATTTAATAAAAACAGTGCCCAGAAGCAACCCCTTAGATCTACACCACCCTTTCAAGCCAGCTGCTGTTTCTATTAGCTCTTGCCCTTTAACCTTAGGAAAATATGGCTCAAGTCTTAATGGGAGGCACATGGTATATTATCTGTTAAACAATAAATTTCACTATTTACCAACTCTTCATTGTGTCTTTGCAGCTTGATTGTATTCTGTAATTTGTATGGTCAGTGTGACCTTTTGCTCCCAGCCTGTAATTTCCTTTTACAACCCTAAAGCGCTCGTCTCCTGCTAATGCTACAAATCAGAGGGGCCCTGTTTAGGAAGATAAACATCTGCCAAAGCACCCAGGCAGCTGCTTTATGCCTGGCATAAAACATACAAACATTTGCAAATATATTTTTTAAGCTCTTTTTAAAATGCAGATCTTGATCAGATGCCTCACTGTGACTCTTCAGGTGTTGCTGGACTACAACTCCCATCCTTGAGACTTTGGCCTTTTTCCATAATACCTGAAGTTCATGTGAGTCCAGCAGCATCAGGAGACCCACATGTTCCCCTTTCCCAACATAGCTTTGAAGTGAATAGCTATCCAAGATATGGTGTTTTCTATTGTGGCACCTAGCTTGGAAACTCCTTCCTTTGGGAAGTTCTCCTAGCACCTTTATTCCTAGCAGCTCTGACTTCAAGCTTTGCCATAAAGGCATTTCTATCCTTTTGTAAGTTGTTTTAATTTTTTAGTGCCATTTTCTCTCTGTTTTACTCTGCATTGCTGCGTTATTGTGGATGCAAATTGTTATATTATTGTAAGCCTCACTGTAGATTCTAGAGACGGGTTCTGGCTCAACTTTAAATCTGTTTCCATGCCTACATTATTCAAAATCAACACGCTGTTCCGTTAAAAGCAGGCAGTGTTGAACGATTTCCCTTGCAAAACGTATCTGCTACGGATGGAATGCGCTGTCACCGCACTAAATGCAAATACCCCTTGCGTTTCGCTCACTGGCAAACAACCACGTGGCTCTTCTGCATCGAGGGTGTAAAATGGAGATTCCAAATTAAACCGGAAGCCAGATGCGGGCGCGTGCAAATGTGACACATGGGTGTGATTACAGACTCGTAGAAATTAGCTTGCGCGCACGCCCAGCTTCCGAGTTTAGTCTGAAATCCTTTTTTGTGTCTGTGTTCCACCTGGCACGTGATTTTAACCCCCCCCCCCTTTTAGCGTAAAGATTCTAAAGCCCAAGCGCAACGTGTCGGTATTGCACAAGGCTCGTGCGTGCTTTGCATGATTTGGGCTGGGAGGGAGCAATTTAAGAAGATTGACCTTTTGCTGCTGCTGCAACCTGAGGGGCGTTTAGGTATGGGGTTTTCTTTGTGGGGAGTGTGGGGCTCCGAATCCAAACCAGCCTCATAGCCCCACTTTTATAAACTGCGGTACCAGCAGCGTGCTACATTGCAAGAACTGTTGCCAGCTGCTGTTCCCCAACCACATCCCTCCAAGCCGCAGCAGGGTAACAGGGAGCATACTGTACTTCTAAAATACTTTGAAACTAATACCCCCCCCACACACATTTCAGACGAAAGTGTAAAGAGAATAAGCTCCTGTCCTCGCTGCTGCCTTTATTGCTGGGTGAGGAGGCTGCTGAAAGTTAGATTTCTCCAAAGTTTGGCAACTATTAACTTTTGTCTAAGAGGAAACAAAAAAAAAAGCCAACGAACCACGCAGCACCAAGAAGGAGCGGAAAATTCTGCATTATAACTCCCGCCCCCACAATCCCTGTGAGCTTCCACTAGCTACTCTAGACCCCTCTTTTTATTTTGTTTGCGGCGGCGGCGCGCGCAGAACGCGGTCGGAAGTTTCGAATTGTCACGTCACTTCCGCGGAGTGACGCAACTGCGGGTCAGAGGCAGCAGCAAAATGGCGGCTCCGGAGGAGCGGGAGCTGTCGGCGGAACAGACCGAGAAGCTGCTCCAGTTCCAGGTGCTGGACGCGGGCGCGGCCGGTGAAGGGGGCCGCGGCGGGCTGAGCCAGGCCGGCCGCCTGGGCGGGAGGCTGGGCTCCCTCTCCGCCCTCGCGTGGGTTCCCGGCGCGCCGGGCGGCCAAGAGGAGCGGGCGGCGCCGGGGGTTGGGGGGCGGAGGAGAGCAGGCTGGCCGGCCTGAGGTTTCTGCTGGGCGGGGGGCGGCGGGGCCAGAGAGCGGGGCGCGGAGGGGGCGCTCGGCGGAAGCGGCCACGGCCTCGGCCTGACCATCGGTGGCCTGATGGCTGCCAGCCTAGGGAGGCCGCCGCCTGGACCTGCCTCCCACCCCCCTGCAACGCGGGTATGGCCGTGGGGTGGGAACCAGCAACGTATAGTCCGTGGGGTCGCCCTGTGAGCAGTTAAGCTTGCTTCGCTGTTTTGTGCTCTTCCGCATCGTACCATTTAAATAAATAACCACCGGCAAATATTATGCGTTGTGATGGTTAAGAGCAACAAACAGGAAATGAGTCAGTACACCTGTATGGGGGAGGGACATCCCGGTTGCTAAGCTGGTTATTAAAAAGGAGCTTCCCTCCCCCCCCCCCGCTTTTTTATTTTTAAAGGTTGCTCTACTGAGAGGCGAGGAGAATCCCAATTACAAGCTCCTATAGCGCCCAGTCGAGCATATTTTATTGGAAATAAATTCCACCGAGTCCAGTGGTCTCCACTGCCAAGTATGAGTGCATAAGATTCTGCCCTATCTTAAGAACACTGAGCAACATTTGCAATTCTTTGTAATTGTTTTTAAAAGAGATTGTTTCCTCCCTCTCCCTGCACTTTAGTATTCCATAGAGAGCCTTAAACTGTCTTGCACCACTTGGCATAAACAATTGAGAGAGTATATTTTGGACTTTCCTAAAAGTAGAAAGCACTATGTTGGGGATTCATTCCCATGATGGCTTATAACTTAAAATGTGGTATTTCTTCACACAAGTGGCCTTCTGTTTAGCCAGGGTTGAATGCTTTAATTGCCATTTTGCTCTTTTTAAGTCATGGGCAAGACTGCCTCCCGCACCTTTCAGTTTCTATTAACATTATAACCTTCCATACATGACTGTAGTGGAGAATGCTAGTACTGCTCTGACATTTTTAGCATGGTTGCAACTTTTAATTCTCTCACTGCTGAAAGAAGTGGGAGGTTCCAGTAAGAATTATTGACGGTGAGTTGAGCATTTCATAAAAAATCCACACACTGTTGTAGGGGAGCTGGATGGAGATTGGGCTGAGGAAGAACAGCAACTACTCTGTCTCCCCTCCCCCAAAGCTCCAATTTTCTCTTGTTATACCTATATTTGACATTTCTTTGTCAGGGGTCTTAGTCAATTCTTGTCTTCTGGAGGAGGGTGGGTTTTTTTGTTTTTGCCTTTTGGGAGAGCACATTGGGGTGAAAGCACTCCCTTTATTGTTTTGAATAATCACAATATATTAACAAATCAAAATGTAATGTTCACTATTTCTTAAATGTACTAACTGCAAGTCTAAAATACCTATCCCACACACAGCAGTACTCTTCAAACACCCCTCATTCTTCTAAGTTTCCAATCCTTCTTTTCTCTTTGCTTCTAAAGCTGCTAAATTACCTTAGTTGTACTACTTTGAAGAGATTATTCAGTTTAAGCCATATTCGGGCATTTGATAAATGCCACATACCGTATTTTTTGCACCATAACACTCACTTTTTTCCTCCTAGAAAGTAAGGGGAAATGTCTGTGTGTGTTATGGAGGAAATGCCTACGGGTGGCATGCCTACGGATTTTCCTCCTCTAAAAACTACGTGCGTGTTATGGTTGGGTGCGTGTTATAGAACGAAAAATACGGTACTTTGCAGTGTGTGTTTGTTGCATTTTGAAATGCCAGTTGGTAGGTGGCGGCACTTAGAGCCATAGTTGCCTTTGACTGGACTTAATGGTCCAGGTGTCCTTTACCTTACCTTATCTTTACCTCACCATTGATGTGAGGCAGACACCACTGTACTTCACTTTTTTGAGCAAAAAAAGTGAGGCAGTTTGGGGTGGAGGGATATAGTACTGTACCAGTTGCTCTTGTGGCTCTGTTCGTGCTTGTCTGAAATAAAGAGATGGAGGGAGAACTGAAAATATTGCTTTTATATTACCACTCACTCGGCCCAGAAAAAAATGATACTATGACATTATAATAGGAAATGTATAATAGGCAAGTAGGTGCAATTTGTTGTTCAGCTGCTCACCTAGAACAAATGCTGAGCAGGTGACTCTGCTGCTGATCTGGTGTATATTGAAACTATCTACATACATTTGAAATGATGGGAATTTCGAAAATATATGGTTTTGTTAAGACTTCTTTTAGAAACATAAATTGGCTATAATGGGGAGAAGAAAGTGACCATATATGCATTTAGTCTAAAGTAATGCATTTCCAGACCTTCAAAAATATTTTACAACAGGGGTGGTGAACCTTGAGCCCAGGAGATAAATGTGGCCTCTCTATCTGACTTCTAGGCCTGCCTAGGCCACACTCCACACTGGCTCTGCTCCCTCAAGTGCTTTTGTCTGGCTAGAATGTGTCCTAAGAATGTCTCTTGGTTGCCCAGATGGAGGTGTGTAGAAACTTCAGACTTTTTACTTGACTGGAATGTAGCCTGTTGTACAAAGATAAGATTCACATCTGCTGCCCTGCAGACGTTTGTTCTGGGCCCTGCATGTCACTGGCATGCAACCTCTGGAAAGCTGCCCCTGAGGGAGTCTGGCCCTTGGGCTGAGAAGATTCTCCACCCCGTATTACAGAGTCTGCATATCACTGTTATAAGGTTCAGTTTCATGCATAGGTACAGTGTTCCAGATAAATGGAATTTCATTTTCTCTGTACATCCTATGTAGATGCTGTTCTTGCCTCTGTGTATTTTCCTCATTGTTTAGAATGGAAGTGGTCAGCTCTGAACCAAACAAGTGTCGGATGGTGACTTGAAAAATATGTAAAACAATACTTAATTAGCTACTATTAATGTAGAAATTTGGGGAGAACGCTGAGAGGTTTATTTTTTCTTGAATTTTATTTGAATTAAAGGGCTGACAACATTTTCTGTCAAGTCCGGTGTCCCACAATGTGGGTGGAGGGAATGAGGCCCACATCTGTGCCTTTCAAAGTGAAAGTACAGACTGGGTCAGCTGTTGGCTAGTCTGATCTGTACCTTCAAAGGTATCCTTCAGTCAGGAGACTGTCCAGCACTAGATTGCCTCCTACCTATGGAGGTGTTGATTGGACTGGCTGACAGCTAGCCATGTATGTATGGTCTGTAGGTTCACCACAAAATTAAAGGATTTGGTGCCCATGGTAATAAGTGCTGTTACTAATAACTGAGAATTAAAACTTGGAACTTTGTTGACAATACCATTGTATATCCCGTCTATAACTTAAAGTGAACCTGCAGCTGGTATCCAGAAAAACAACTTCCTTAAATTAACTGAGAAACTTTACCAAATTGTATCTGTCATCTATATCATGTTCAGTCTTTGATTGCTGCACTTGTACAAGAACAAATTCTCAGCCTGGCAAAGGCTTTTGTTCTGTTAGTCAGGTGCTCCTCACCTTGGAAACATAATTCTCTGGAATTTGGCAATGGTTTGGGAGTTAACAGCAGAGCTAGTTACAGGCTTCTTGGAAATGTTTCACTTGTATGGCATAGAGCAAAACCAGACGTGATGTTAAATGTATGAATGCATTTAGCATGTGCAAGTTTTTACTAAACACCAATTGCAAGCCTGGTCAGGTTTGGGTCCATGGCATATGGGGAAGGTAGGGGAACACGGACTTGTGGGATTTTCTGTCTCTAATGCTAAAATAACTTGACTGATCTTCGCTTTGTCCTGAACCACATTGGATCAGGTAGTTCAGTGCCACTAGCTGCTTGTGTGTCTACTGTGGGTCCACCCTCCTTTCTGCTTGGCTCAGTGGGTCTCTCTAAGCACCTTCTGAATTGCACCTCAAAGCAGTAAATACTCTAGTGTTAGAAATATACATACAATAGTATTTGTTCATCTTCTTTATTAGTAAAATCATTTGTTGGACATTTAACCTGAAAAACCCTTCAGAATGAATGGTACAGTTGACCACAAGGGGCATATTCTACTGCGATGTTAGAACATTTTCATTTACTGCAAAACTAAAATGAACAAAAAGCATTATTTCAAGCAATTAAAATACCTTTTTTCTGTCCTTTGAAAATAGCTGGTGATATGCCAGTTATTTTCCATGGCTGCTGTAAAGGGGATCCTGCTGTATGTATGCAAGAGGCCCTTCAAGTCACCGGTGGATAGGCAAAATTGACGACTGGAATCTCAGATGAGAATGCACCCATCAGATTTAGTGATCTGATCTTATAGCCATCTTTAAGCCATGGAATATATTTGCAGGAGTTAGCTGATACAGAATTGTTTTGCATTGCATTTTTACAAACAGTAGTGTGGGGAAAGTTCCAGTGCTTCATAAATGTTGTGCAGTTCCATGGTTATAACACTGAAGAGGGCTTCTGGTTCCACTCTGCCTTAATAGAGGCAGCCCCCATGACAGTGGGAGATCATAGGCAAAGGAAAAACAAGGATGATTGAGGGTAAATCATCCTTGCAAATTCCCCCCAGAATTTGTCTTGGTACCTGGCTCTCACTCTGGCATGGAATGTGGGAGGTGCAAAAACGCTTTGTCTGCTGAAAACTCTCCAATGCCGCCATTACGAAACAGAGGTTCTCCTGTTAATTAGAGCTTAATTGGACTAAAGTACAGGCACGTGCTAGAAGAGAGGAGATCACAAACTGCAGAACAAATCAACTGCAAGGACTTTAAGGTTTGAATTTGAGATAAGACTTCATCTGATGCAAAAGACGGTGGGTGGGGAGCCTAAGGTTTCTTTATTTAAAGTTTTCTTCTCTACAGTTACGATTCAGCAACCTTCCCCTGAATGTTGGTTCAAATTATATTTGTACAAGTGATGATGGAAGAAATTAGGTTATAAATATGGTATATAACATCAAATGGAACTGCGTGTAAAAAAAAGGAAAAAAGGAGGGAAGCTCTATTTTGCAACAAGTTTATGATAGAAACTTAGAGCTGACTCTTCCCCATTCTTTATTATCTATGAAGTGAACTGAATAACGCTAAGAGGACTTGGAATTTAATTTAATTGGAAGGATAACTGGCCATATATCTTCAGCTGGAAGAAGGATGAAAGGAGTTTGGGAGCTGCCAAGGAACTGATAAGGTTCTTTATTGAGTCATCTGCAGTTTGACAGACCACTCTTCTTCCCAGGCTGAGAGGAAAAATGGTGAAAATAGTTTATTTACTGGGACAGAGCAACTTTTGCAGCTGTTGTTAAAGTTCTCAGTGCAAAACAATGAAGCATGGGACAGAGTGGTGGAGAAATTTCTGGAACAACAGCTCCGCCCTAGGCATGATGTATTACAGCAACAAATGGGGTGGGGTGGGGGAGATATAACATCTTACAAGGACAGGAAGAAATGCTACAGACAGAATAATTGCCACACACGGGAAGAACAAGGATATAGTTTGAGTTCCTCACTTGAAGCTTTATAAATCATTTAATGTGTCAACACGAATAGAAGTTATTAATATTGCAGTTGTTGTATAAGGGATTATTATTATTATTATTATGACCGGAATGTAATTGAAACTAGTTAGACTTTAGAACGCAGAATTAAAGAAAATCATCAAATCTAGCATGCAGGGGGGCCACTTTAAATAAATTATATGATTCTGTATTTGCATGATTGGTATTAATAATTGTATTATAAATTGGTATTGTTATAATGAGGCTATTATTGGACTGTAATTTAAAACTAATAAAAATATTATTTTAAAAAAACACTGAAGAGAACAGCATTAGCAGTTAGTTTTGTGCCTGTTTTTCATTCTGACCTTGAGTAAAGTAGTTACAGATAACTGTGAAAAATGTTATACACACAGACACATTAGTACAAAAGCTGAGATTCTCAGAATGCCAAATTCGGCAGAAGATATACCAGGTTTGACACTTGCATGGCAATCCAGTAGACATGGAAACATGTAGGCTGTTGTCCCCATCTGTTGTAATGGTGGCTCTGAGGAAGAAAGCTTACAAGACACGACAACTGCATTATGTTACACCTATAGGGAGAAAAGGGGGTTTTGAAGAGGGATTCTTGCTAAATTGTGTATAGTTTGAAATGCCCAACCCCCCTATTGAGACCTGTATGAAAACACTGTTGTGTAGAGTTTGTTTTGTCACATAAAGCTGCTACAGTCCTTTACATACTTTTAAACAGAGAAAATTCTGGCATCCAATTTTACTGCATATTGCAGCAGTTCTAGCTGTATGGGAGTGCAAATGAGCTTTTGAACTTTGTAGATTGGTAAGCAGCAGTACCATTTTAAGCACACTGAAAAGGTCAACTGTCAGTCTAGAAATGTGAAGAAGCAGTAGGTGCACATGCCCATTCAGGAATATGTTTCAGAAAGGCATCTAAATTAGTTGAATTTTTAGGGAATGAGCATTGTAAATCCTGTTCCGAGGCTTATTTGTGAGACTTGCTCTGTCAGTGTTGTGAGAGGAAGAATTACGCTCTTCTAAGTATTATGCTGCTAACTAGGAATGTTATAAGAAATTATCTCTGAAGAACTAATTAGGCAATAATTCACTGCTTTGCAGAGCAAAGCTTGTTACCTCACATGTCCAGCACAATTGAAGGTTGAGCAAAGATGAAACAAGACCAGGAATACCAGCCTAACTAGCTGAGTGGAATGCTACAGCCTGAGGGCTTCTGTTGAATTATTTCTGTGTGCCTGCATGCATTCTGTTAGTGCAGTGTGGCATTACATATAGTGGCAATATATCCTTGGTTGAAAGCATACCTACTGTTATTCTGATGATAAATGTAGGAACTCACGTCTGTAAAGAGCAGATTGGAGATGAATCACAATTTGGACAGAGAATACTAATAAATTAAAAGCTCAAAATAAACTGGAAAAAGAAGTGCTAATGAAAAGCAGTAAAGTGTTTAATCACAGGGCTGTAACTCTAGTAGGACTGGTCTTTAGAAATAAGAGTTCAGAGAGGTGAAGGCGAAATCAGAATAATTTTATTCTATTGATTGATTGCACTTATATCCCACCTTTATCTCCAATGAGCTTGAGGTGGTGTACATGGCTCTCCCCTCCATTATTTCATCCCCGCAACAACCCGGTGAGGTAGTTTAGGCTGAGAGGCAGTGACTAGCTCAGGGTCACCCAATGAGCTTGTGACCGAGTCGGAATTTGAATCCTGGTTTCTCAGGTTCTAGTGTGACCAGCTGTCTTGTGGAAAGAGAATCTCAAGACTCACAAAGTTTGATGTTTGCTCCTTTTGTGAGGCAGTTTGTTTACAAATGCCTTGTTGAATTCTGATTTCCGAACGGAAGTGGCTAAAATGAGAAACAAAATAAAATTTGATTTGAGGACTGTATTGTTTATTGTTTTGACTTAAGTTCTCCCACCCCATTTCTTGCCCCCAGGACCTGACTGGCATAGAGTCCATGGACCAGTGCCGTCATACACTGGAACAACACAACTGGAACATAGAGGTACTGTCTCACTTGGGGCTTGCTTGCTTGTTGCACTTGTTGCTTACCAACAGTAGATGGTATCCAGTGCTTTTTCTCCTCTGACAAAAGGCTCTTTGATCCAATATGCTTCTGTGGCACCTCCCACTATCCTGCTGGAGCAGGGGTGTGGGTGGCTGTGGAAGGTGGATATACAAAAGTTCCTTCCCCATTCAACTAATGGAAGCCTCTGGTCCAGTATAGATTTCCAAAGACATTAGAGCCTAATGTCATTGGGGTGGGGTGAATACACCCCACCATTGGATACAGCCCAATGACTATGTGCCTTTGAAGTCAGGCCAAAGTCAGAGCCACCCCTGAAAAGACACCTTCTTTTGTTACCATCCTCTGCACCACCCTTGCAGAGGGCACACAAAGAAGGACCTTGGATGAACAATGGGGATCCAGATTCTGCACACACAAAAACCTGCAGCCTCTAGTGATATTGATTATACAAAATTAGCATTTTCCCTAATTTGAATAAATCCGTATTTTTATTTTTATTTTTTGCTCTGTGGAATTCTGATGACCAGGGGACAACGCAAAGAGCTCAGCAAAGCTGTATTCTTGACTACAGTATTAAATATCTTAGTTATCCTTTTATTTTTTGTCTATATACTTTCTAAAAGAATTTTCTGTGTGATAGGTAAAATATGCTAACCAGTCCTTGTTACGCCCTTTATAGGCAGCTGTTCAGGACCGATTGAATGAGCAAGAGGGTGTCCCAAGTGTCTTCAATCCACCACCTTCTAGACCGCTACAGGTCAACACTGCTGACCACAGGATCTACAGCTATGTTGTTTCAAGGCCGCAACCAAGGGCAAGTTCTATAACTGAGATTAGCTTAACCAGGGAAGCATTTGTTCTCTGTGGTCAGTTCTATGAAACAATAAAGCACCTACAGTGGTACCTCTGGATGCAAACGGGATCCGTTCCGGAGCCTTGTTCACATCCTGAGCAGAACACAACCCGCATCTGCGCGTACGCGGGTTGCGATTCGCCACTTCTGCGCATGAGCGTGATGTCATTTTGAGCACATGCGCGAGCGGCGAAACCCAGAAGTAACCCGTTCCGTTACTTCCGGGTCACCGTGGAACGCAACCTGAAAACACTCAACCTGAAGTATCTTTAACCCGAGGTATGACTGTACAAGGAAAATACTTTTCTGCAGGTTTAGAACACAGGTGTTACCTTGAATGGGGACTTATTTTCTATAAGAGACTGTATGGTTACTTTTGTTGTCCTGTTGTAAAAACGAAAAGCAGAACAGCAAAGGAAAATGATACTTAAAAGCCAAACATTTGGTAATTATTTCAATATGCCTCAAGCTGGGATGGGAGGTGGGGGAAAGGAATAGAAAAACACTTATTGCTGATGAGAACCAACATCTAGGAATTGTATCTCTGAGGTTAAATAGCAAGACATCAGTTTCCAAATGTGTGCTAAAATATTTCATTAACATAGCTGCTTCAAGATAAAATAAATTTAAGCTGGTACAGTGTTACCTCGGTTTACAAATTTAATCCGTTCCTGAACTCTGTTCTTAAACCAAATCCGTTCTTAAATCGAGGTGCGCTTTCCCTAATGAGGCCTCCCGCCACCGGTGCCCTTCCACCGTTCGGCTTTTGTTCCTAGACCAAGGTAAAGTTCGCAAACCGGAACACTACTTCTGGTTTTGTGGAGTTCATAAATCGAATAGTTCATTAACAGAGCTGTTCGTAAACCGAGGTACCACTGTACTTCAAAGGAATGACGTGGTAAGGATCTAACTCTCTCTTTGTCATTTCAGGGCTTGTTAGGTTGGGGTTACTATTTGATAATGCTTCCATTCCGATTTACATATTACACATTACTTGATATATTTAGGTAAGTGCACACTTGTTTATGTTTGCATATTGAGTTTGCATGTTGAGTTTATTGCTTTATTCTGAAGTTTGCCGCTACTCCTTAGTTAAGGTAATATTCTATGGCAGATGTGGGCAGGAGGCTAGAAACTGGTTTACTTGTAGATTAGTGCCCAATTTCTGAAGGCCCACTTTGTAGTTCTCAGGCATTGATTAGGTCATTTATTTGTTTCTAGACATTAGATGATTGCAAAACAAAGTTTAGCAATATAAAATAAAGACAAGTTAGCACTGGAAATCTTGCAAACTTGCTGGGTTCTGGAAATCTTGGTATGGTCTAACAATGTTTTTAAACAAAGGTGTTTACTTGGAATATCACAACAATTGTGGCATGGTTGGTTTTTGTTAAGAAATCTTTAATATGGGTTTTTGTGTTGTAAATACGGGTGATAGAAACATAGATAACTAAACAAATGTAAAACTGAAATCATCCCACTCGTGTTCTGAAGGTGCTAGAATAACCAGTAGCTGATATTTCAATTTTATACTCTTTCCTAGGTTTGCTTTGCGTTTCATACGCCCTGATCCTCGTAGTCGGGTCACTGACCCTGTTGGTGATATTGTTTCATTTATTCATATGTTTGAAGAAAAATTTGGAAGAATACATCCTGTTTTCTACCAGGGAACATACAGTCAGGTTGGTACAAGAGATGTCAAAGAGTTGTCCTGTCTTGAAGTGGAGATTCTTGGAAGAGTAATCTTGAGTTATCCCTTGAGGCAAAATGTTGTAGACATGTGTTGTAGGTAATATAAAATAGTAACCTGAGATATTTAATTGGAAGTTACGTTTTGTTAACTGTTGCCTATGTTACAATGTATTGGAAATAGAATCACCCTGCTAATACAGTAACTTCAGTTTTTCAATGCGTGGTTCTAGTAGTGCTAATAATAGAACAGTCTGCCTTGGGTGAAGACCATATCAAAGACTCACTACTTGGTCTAGCACAGCCACAGTGCTCCTTATCCAAGGAGGAAGGTTTGCTGTGCATGATTTGGCAAAAAAATTAGCACAGTTATAGTCTTTGTGTACATGTTATGATCTGATGACCTGACACTACTTTTTTCACTTGAGCACAGTGTCAAATTGTCCAGATTTCATCTATCTAAAACATCCTTATGTTTCTTCTCTCAAGGCACTGAATGATGCAAAGAGGGAGCTACGCTTCCTCCTTGTTTACCTTCATGGTGATGACCATCAAGACACTGATGAATTCTGTCGGTAGGTTACTTCAGATTTTTTTTATTATAAATGGTGGTGTGAGTTCTGGGTGCAGTTTCAAGTGCGTTAATCTTGTATCCTCTCCAAACAGCAACACCCTTTGTGCACCTGAAGTGATCACCCTCATAAATACAAGGATGCTTTTCTGGGCTTGTTCCACAAATAAACCAGAAGGATATAGAGGTACGTGTTTTGATTACAACTCTGCCTTAACGTAACATTTTATAAACACTTGCAGCCCAGTCCTAAGCATGTTTACTTAGAGTTACGGCCCGCTCTAATCAGTGGTGCTTCCTCTAGAGTAAGTATGCATTGGATTGCAGCCTTGAACTGTAATCGTATATGATGAAAAGAAATGCTTTTGAACTGGTGGGATATAGTCAAGCAAAGGTGTTTAGGATCAGGCTGTCAAAATAAGCTGTTGTGTCTGTTTTGTATTTTATTTTGCCCCCTTTTACTATATGGGAAACAAACCATCTACATGAAACAGCTAGTCATCAATATGCTGGAGCCACCCAACTCTACAGTGCTCACATGTGAGTTGCATGTCACTCACATGTTGAAACAGGAGCAGGGCCACATTGTTGGATCTGCCACCAAAGTTGCATTCCTAGACTATCAACATCTTCAATGTCTGTACAGAGAGTGGAGAAGGAGCCCTTGCGTCATAAAAGATGGAAGTGCTGTTGCTCATTAGGAAATGAGTGTTGATTATGGAATAGAAGTACAGCCCGTCTGAGGCACTCCCATTGAAGAATTGGATTTGTGGCCTGGGTGTGGTGCTGGATGCTCAGGTGGCAGTTGTGGCCAGGAATGCTTTAAGTGGATTAGCCTGGTGTTGCAGCTATGCTTGTTTTGGAGAAAGCTGATCTGGCTACTTCACACACAGGATTTAGTCATAGGGAGTTTGGATTACTCCAGCATACTACACTTGGAGCTGCCTTTGCCGAGTGCTGAGAAACAACAGCAGAATGCTTTAGTGCATAGTGTTAACTGAGGCAAGTGACTGAAGCCATGGAGCTCCACTGCGTTGGCTGCTAGTTTGTTTTCAACTCCATTTCAAAGTGCTGGTTGCTACTTTTTAAAGTCATGTGGATCTTTCCTGGTCACTTGAATCTGGGTTGGCCTTGCTCTGTGTACCTATACTGACTGAAGTATTGCTGGTTGAAAGGGACACAGGGCTTCCTTTGTCAGGGCACCCAGACTCTGGAAATCCCTGTCTTGGGCGACTTGTATGACACTTTGATGATATTACAACATTGATAATAACCAGAATGTTTTGAATTATAACTGAATTGTTTCCCTTCTAAAACGCTGATGTGTTTATTTTTGTACTGATTTTAATTATTCCATTATATATTCCTGCATTGCAGGGAGCTCTAGTTGGCAGTACCCATGTGAAACCAGTACTAGTGGGGCTTGCATTTGGCATCAAATTTAAAAGGTGCAGATACAAGCTCCACATGCCAAGCAACCAGAAATGCATTTTAAGCCTCAGGATTCTTCCTTTGCACCCACATCTGCTTCCCGGTGCCATATATATGTAATCGGGTATGGGACAGGTGGGCATGCCTTGAAGAAAATGGCCTCATATGCCAAATTAGGACCCCTACTAGCCCCGATTGGGCCTGTAAGCTGGAGGTTCCCTGCTGCTGTTACATTAACTTTGTGTCTTAGTTTAATGAGAAACTGGACAGATAACATGCCATAGTGTGTGGAGGTTCATGGGCAGAAAACTGTTGAATTCTAATTATTCAGTCTGATTTCCCCAATTTCTCATTGAGATGACTCCCTCCTCCCTGCTTGTGAATGCGTTTTCATTTACTAAAGTCAGAACTATTGAGACCATTGCCTTAAGGTTCTGAAGGCTGCCCTGAATTATGATCACTTTCTATGATATTTTCTCTAGTTCCTCCTTCCTGAATTTTGAAAAGGGGTTTCCTTTTGTCTGATGCTGCTGACCATAACATAGGTTTTCTGGGAAGGTTGTGTATATGCCTTTGATACCAGATCTCCAGTGTGAATTTGCTGTTGGACTAGAACCCCAAATGTCGAGAACTGAAGGCCACTTCCTCTTAAAAGTGTAGAAGAACTGTAGAAGCTGAAAGTTGGAATAGTCTTCATGTTGCATTAGGGAGAGGACTACAGCTCAGTGGCAGAGCACATGATTTCCCTCTGGAAGGTCCCAAGTTGAATCCCTGATGCCTGGAGATACAAAGATCTATGATAGCAGGGCTTAGAAAGACAATTCACAAAACTATAGAATGTCACTTTCAGAGTAGACAATAGTGGGCTAGATAAATAGTATGACGGAGTTTAATGCAGCTTCATCTCTTTGTAAATGCCCTATATGGCAAGATTGCAAATGCTGACCATATTGTATGCATTTGTCTTAGTGTCACAGGCTTTGCGTGAGAATACCTACCCATTCCTGGCAATGATCATGCTGAAAGATCGTAGAATGACCGTAGTTGGGAGGTTAGAAGGACTCATCCAACCTGATGACCTCATTAACCAGCTGACATTCATCATGGATGCCAACCAGACATACTTGGTATCTGAGCGCCTGGAAAGGTACTAGGTCAAAAACAAGAGATGCCATCTCCACTCTCCACCTTACAGTACTTAATTAAATCTACGATTACCTTTTCTGTGGGAAAACTACCAACTGCTCAACCTGACTTAATTATCTGGGCATAGAGTAAAAGAGAAGAAAAATATATATCCTGTAAATTGCAGCTATCTGTTTAATTATATGACTCGGGTTCATATATGTTGCTGGCAGATTGCTAATGTAGGCTATAACAGATTGAGAGAGATTGCAGGCTTTCAACAATAGTGTGTTAGTGTTGGATGGGAAGAGATTGCCTCTAGTTCTTAACTCTAGTTGGCATACTGCTGATTTCTGACACCAGGTTGCTTTGTCACTAAGAAGAAGTGGACTGCTGATGCTGTTCACAGGGAGAGAAGGCTGTCTTCTTTGAGATACTAGCCATGGGGTATTTTTTCCAGATTCTTGCTTGCGTGTCAAAGCACCTTAAGATTCAGTCAGCATGGGCAAGGGCCCAGTAGAGGTCCACAAGTGGAGGCACTTGCTGCTCTTTGCTGCTGCCCACCTACTTACTCCACTGAGCCAGCAAATGGAACAGGAGGAGCACAAGCTGTTTGAGGGAGAGGGCAAGCAGGAAACTGGTAGAAGCTGCTGCTACTACTTGGTATCAAGAAGGAAAAGGAGCAGCAGCAGCTGCTGTTCCCACATGCAAATAAGAAAATGCTGCTATGCCTAGTCATAATGCAGAACCATTGGGACAACCCTCCTAGTTAGAAATACATCTTTCCCCTAGTAAAAATCTGAAATTTCTTCAGGTGTTGTTGTAGCAGTTCTTGTCAGGTTGGCACTAATACATTTCCCCTTTTATCTTAGAGAAGAGAGAAACCAAACTCAGGTCCTTAGACAACAACAAGATGAGGCATATCTGGCTTCATTACGGGCTGATCAGGAGAAAGACCGCAAGAAAAAGGAAGAGCGGGAAAAGAAGAAGAGGAAGGAGGAGGAGGTGCAGCAGCAGAAGCTAGCAGAGGAGAGACGGCGGCGGGTGAGAATTGAATGTGTCAATAGCAGTGAATCACAGGTCTCAGGTGCAATTTTCATAATAAGAATAGATGCCTCAGCTACAAATGCAGGTGGGAATGACTGGCTCTTGTAGATGGCCTTATATTACTGCAAATTTAGTACTGGCACTTTGGAAATGGGAGCAGTTACTAGTTTGTGGAAGACCACTCCTAGTTGGTTAGTCTGCATTTCATAGTACAGTATGAGCCAGGATTCAGATCCTGTAAATTAATCCATTAAAATTCTGATCAGTGAACAGTAGTTTATTTTAGAGAATTCAGATCATGTCGCACATGATGTTTCTCTCTCTCTCCCCACCCCCATTAATACAGTTTATTTATACACTGGTACCTCGAGTTACAAATGCTTCAGGTTACAAACTCCGCTAACCTGGAAGAGTTGCCTTGAGAACTTTGCCCCAGGATGAGAACAAAAATTGTGTGCCAGCGGCAGCAAGAGGCCCCATTAGCGAAAGCATGCCTCTAGTTAAGAACAGTTTCAGGTTAAGAACGGACCTCTGGAATGAATTAAGTTTGTAACTAGAAGTACCACTGTATTTATTTACAAGTAGCACGGCTACTTGCAGAATAAAGCAACAATGTTTAGTTGCCAGATCCATTTACTAGTTTCCATTCTCTTGATGGTTATAATTCAGATCACTTTTTCGTGTGCCTGCATTAGAGTATGAGATTTCAAGTAAGTCTTCCTCTTCTAGAAGTTTCCCGTTAACACATATTGTTCTATTTGAAAGAAATTATTTTAGAATACATGCAAAAACAAATGTTTTAATAGGAATAAACTTTGTGTAGAATTATCAGTTGAAGCTCATTACAGGCACCATTGGGTGGGAGGATGCCCTAAATTCGTATTTTCATAATAGGCTTTCCATCGTCCCAGGATGCAGTTCTTCACAATTCCCTTCCTTTGGACCAAGGCACCAGAAACAACTGTACATACTACACATTCTGCTGGAAGACTGATAAAGCTTTGGGTATAGCCTAGTTAGTCCCAACAGAAAGCTTAGCAAGAGTTCCAATGAGTGGTGATTTCTTGAGTGAACGTTTTGACTCCAAATGAATGCAGTAACTGGCTGGGTTATTCCTACTGATGAACACTCCACACCTTCATGCAAACCTTATAGGTTTGCACGAAGGAGCCTTCTCTTGCCAGAATTCTACATATTGGAATATGACTTGGCAATCTAATTTTGAGGCCCATTTGAAATGAGGCGACAGTAACTATTGATATGCTTAGTTCCATTGACTGCTGCTGTGCTGATCTAGTGGCTACAGCTTTATTTGTATCTTGTCATACTGTTGGAGCTGCTGCCATTTATTCATATTTCCATTTTATCCCTGAAGACTCTGCAGGAGGAGAAGGAACGGAAATCTGAATGCCTTCCACCAGAGCCGCATCCTGATGACCCAGAAAGTGTCAAGATCGTCTTCAAAATGCCCAATGACTCCAGGGTGGAGAGGCGATTCCATTTTACACAGTCTTTAGCAGTAAGGATGGGGCCAAATTTTGTGGCTGAGAATTATTTGAGAAGCAGAAATTGAGCTCTGAATCTGCTTTAGCAGCTGGCGATTCATACAGATAAAGGGGAGACGCAGTATGCAGAACTGAAGGAATGGTGGAGCTGGGCAATGCAGTAATATCCTTACCGTTTTTGCAAAGCTTCTTATCTTAACCAATGGTCTACCCTTAAAGAAATACACCCTGGTTGACTCACTTTGCTTTCTAATTTATTAGGGATTCTACTCTGGATCTCCTACATGGAGACTAGGCTCTCTCTCTGTTGCATCATGCAGGCCCTTAGGAAGGAGTGGGTTGAACCCAGAGTGTCCCTTCCATGAATATAAGGACTCCTTCAATTCACGCAAGACACTCAGATCCAATGGAGGCTCCTGCTGGAGGAAAGAGGGTGGAGATATTTCTAGTTACCCCTTCCCCCTGTAGGCTCCAGCACCTCTCACACTGTTCATTTCCTCCACATTACCTTCAGCATGAGTGTTCCATGAAAAGTTCTGCTCTTATGAACAGTGGATATATGAGGAAACTTACTGCTCAAGTAACATTTTATACAAATTAGGTACGTTGTGATTGCATGGAGGCCCCCCTCTAAGATGATCATGAAAAAATGGTCATCTTACTGGGTATTCTTTCCATAAACACAGAAGAGTGTTGCAGTGTGAGGATCTGCTTTCTGCTCTCAGTTGCAAGGCATTCAGTCATTTGGTGAATAACTGTCTGCTACCTCCTTAGGTGATCCATGACTTCCTATTCTCTTTGAAAGAGAGCCCGGAGAAGTTCCAGATTGAGGCCAACTTCCCTCGCCGTGTCCTGCCCTGCCTTCCGACAGAGGAGTGGCCCAACCCACCCACGCTGCAAGAAGCTGGACTCAGCCACACGGAAGTTCTCTTTGTGCAGGACCTCACGGACGATTGACATTTTCCCAAAATACAGAGATGGAAAGAGAAATTCCTACTATAATACAATATTTTTTTTAAAAGACTGCTGCGTACACATGAGGGATCAGAGACTCTGTGGCCTAGGCCAGCCACGCCGTATGTCTGCACTGGCGGGAGAAACTGCACACTCACGCACACGCAACCCCTTTTACATCCAGAGGGCCAATGGGAGGGGCCACGGTTTGCCCTCCCGAGAGAGGGGGAGAAACGGCAGCTCTTGGTAAATATTGCTTTTATTGGAAATAATATACCCCAACATTCTGACATTAGAACACCCGACGTTTTGCTGCTTGTGACAGCTAAAGGACACCGTACCTGTCGGCCAGGTTGTCTTCTGCCCAGGTAGGGGAGGGACGGGCAGAGGGTCTTTTTTTCCCTTCCAGCTTCTCACTCTGTATAAATCTCTTAAATATTTCTTTTGCTTTGTAATGACCAAAGGAGAACGGGAGTAACAGTGGTTTTTGGTTTATTTTTTTGTTTTATAAGGAGCTGGTTGACATTCTTAACCACAGGGGTTCTTCTCCAGGGTTGTTAGCCTGCGTAGTGTAATAAACTCTGCCTCTAGTGTGCCTGTGCTAACACCTCTGACTGTCAAGTGTCTTACTGGCCCAGATGATGGCCTGACCTAACCTGTGCGCACACAGCTTTAGTAGCGAAATTCCCTTGGGTCATGTTGCAGCAGCAATCAAGACTTGATACTGCCTTCCGCACAGCATCTTAGGCTTGCATTGGCTCACTCTGGAGGAGTATTTGTGACTGTGCCAGTGAGGGATATGTCTCTTGCAATAGCCACATGAGGTAACTGCAGCAGTGACGGGAAGGCAGACACAAAAGTTGAGCTAACTTAAAGGACTGCAGACATTTTTGTTGAGCCAGGGTTGTCATTTTGTCAGTGTTAATGGGGATGGTATCTGCCTGCCTTGAGGACACTGCAAGTGTTAAAGGATGAGCTGTGTGTTGCAGCTAGAGCCCGCAGAGCTCTGAAAGGCAGCCTGCAGATTTTACAGATGCAGGCCCCTCTTAATAACTGTAGCTGTTGCCTGTATTAAGGCAGATTCAGTCTTGTTGCCCTTTAGTGCAGTGGGATGTTCATGCGGTCAGGAAAGCTGCCTTCTGAAGTCTTTCCAGCTAACAAGGAGTCTCTCAGTTGTGTAATTTTCTTAGGCATATGGAAGTTAAGAGCAAAGACTTTCTCATGGAACTGGCTGGGCTCTTTTCTATTTCCTTGTGATGGAGGAGCCTCCACTTGCTACTGTATATACTGCAGAAAATATTGCCTCCTGCGAATGAGCATCATTTGGAATCTGAGCTGGACTCATGAAATACAGTATTACTCTTATTTGCCAGACTTAGCTTCCCTTCTCTTTTTTGATTGATTGGATCAGAAGCAGAAGAATACTAATTTTTCTGTCCTCCTTACTATATGAATCAAGAAAACTGAGTTAAGTAAGGATTATAAAAGGGAGATGAAATGAACACAGTCTTTCTGTGGGAATACAGGTTCAAGGTGAACCTTGTGTGTGCTCTGTTCTTACACATATTTTTCCATAGGCATTGATTCATCGGATGGTATTCCCTGCCTAAAGAATTCTTGCTACTCTCAAAAATTCAGATAATTTCTCAGCTATTGGCCTTATGCCTTTTGGTTAGCATGTGAAATTCTTGGATAGAACAGACTGAAGCATAGCCCTGGCCCTCTTCTCTAGAGCATCTGAATGCCTTTTGGGCCTTTATCATAAAAAGAAAGCACAGCAGTGAGTGTAGATTGATGCCATTTCCGTAGAAAGCAAAAACGTGAGAATACTTTCACACCCCATAATGAATGATGTGCTTAACTCACCCCAACCCCTACTTTATTTGTGAATCTTGCAGTTGCTCAATTCATTTTAAACATGCTGCATTGCATAATAATAATAATAATAATAATAATAATAATAATAAATTTTATTTATATCCCGCCCCCCCAGCCGAAGCGGGGCTCAGGGCGGCTAACAACAATAAAACAGTACAAAAGTACAGCACAAACAACACTCTAAAATCATTCATTATAAAATTAATTAACTCAAGCCACTGGCAACCATTGGGCCAGAGCTCTGCGAAGATTGCCAAGGGAAGGGAGTCAGGCTGTGCCCTGGCCAAAGAGCTCTGTCTTGCAGGCCCTGCGGAAAGATGTCAAGTCCCGCAGGGCCCTGGTCTCTTGTGACAGAGTGTTCCACCAGATCGGAGCCACGGCCGAAAAAGCCCTGGCTCTAGTTGAGGCCAGCCTAACTTCTCTGTGGCCTGGGACCTTCAAGATGTTTTTATTTGAAGACCGTAAGTTTCTCTGTGGGGCATACCAGGAGAGGCGGTCCCGTAGGTATGAGGGTCCTAGGCCGTATAGGGCTTTAAAGGTTAAAACCAGCACCTTAAACCTGATCCTGTACTCCACTGGGAGCCAGTGCAGCTGGTACAGCACCGGGTGAATGTGATCTCGCAGGGAAGACCCCGTAAGGAGTCTCGCTGCAGCATTCTGCACCCGCTGGAGTTTCTGGGTCAGTCTCAAGGGCAGCCCCACGTAGAGCGAGTTACAATAATCCAGTCTGGAGGTGACCGTCGCGTGGATCACAGTGGCTAGGTCAGGGCGAGAGAGGTAAGGAGCCAACTGCTTAGCTTGGCGGAGATGGAAAAATGCCGCCTTTGTTGTAGCTGTAATCTGCGCCTTCATGGAAAGGGAGGTGTCGAAGATTACACCCAAACTCTTAACGGACAGTGCTGGCGCTAATTGCGCCCCGCAAGAGATGGGAGTTGCCCCCCCAATCCCATATCGTCCCGTCCCAGCCACAGGACCTCTGTCTTCGAAGGATTTAGCTTCAACCGGCTCCCACGTAACCATCCAGCCACAGCTTCCAAACATCTTAATACTAATTAGTTATCTAATTAGCAAAGTTAGAGCATGAGTAAATATGATTTGGGGGAAAAGGCAAATCATCTGCCAGATGTTCTAGTGGGCACTAGTGTTAAAAGATGTGGTTTGCACTGAAAATTTACAGTTTTTACACTAGTATTGCTTTTTGCCAAACTGGAACGAGTTAATACTGCTGGAGTGAATGCAGGATGTAAAGGTTAGGTAGGTTCATTTTGGTTTGACCACTTGCTATTTTCTAATAGAAAGTTTCCAGCCCATACACAGTCTAAGCAAAGGAAGAAAATCAAGTCACAGTTCAATAAAGACTCTTGCGATACAAGAGTTTTTTGAATATGGGTGATCCAACAAACATCGTATCACGTAAGCAAGTGTGACACAACGTAGGTGGGCAGGAGATGCAAATCCTACTGAGCTGGCAGTGGCCAACCAAAAAAGATCTTGGGAGTTAGAGTGAATGGCTCAATCAAAAATTGACCCAGTGGACAGCAAATGCAAGAACTGCCACTGATAGAGCATCTGATTTACAGTGCAGCAGGTAGGGTTGGAAAAGACCCTGGCCCGGAGGGTTGCTTCCAGTCAGTGTAGACAATTATGACTTGGTGTAAGGCTACTTTTTGTATTCCCTAAAACAGACCTATGCTATATTCTACCTTCATGGTCAGAGGCAGTATTCCATGGTATACCAATTGCTGGGAATCTCAGGTGAGATACAGTGGCCAATTAGATGCCTGTGGAGAAACCCATGAGCAGGACAAGAGCACACTCCCATCCTGCAGTTTCCAGCCAAAAGCATTAATGCCTCTGTCCATGGAGGCAGAACATCGCCATTGTTGCAAGTAGCCATTGATAGCTTAAGCCATAATTTGTCTAAACCTTTCTTTAAAGCCATCCCAAGTTGCTGGCCATCCGTGCCTCCTGTGAGAGTGAGTTCCACAGTTTTAACTGTGCAGAAACCCTTCCTTTTATCTGTCCTAAATCTTCCAATATTCAGCTTCTTTGGATGTCCACAAGTTCTAGTGTTACAACCAATGGAGAAAAAACATTTTCTCTAGCCACCACCTCCAGTTATTTGGAGTTTGAGTGAAACATGGAGAGTCCTTAATGTAGCATGTTTAGCTTTAAAAACAAAACTGAATAGTAGATCACCTTGTTGCACTCTGTTTCCCACAATGGCTAAGCGGACGTCTCCAGAAAGTCTACAAGGAGACATATGCTGTTGCTCTGAATCTGGAGGTCTCCAATAGTAGTAATCACTACTTAACCACTGGTAGACCTTTCTGTGAATTTGTCTATAAACATCAGTCATGCTTTTTAAAACAAAAAAACACAAGTGCTAACCATGATATTTAACAAACCACTGACACACTGAAAGCAAATCTGCAAACTACCATGGGCACTGGAAAACGCTTACTTTGTTTGCTGAGAGCAAGTTGCTCCAGGTATCACTGGTGGCAGAGTAGACAGTATATTTTTAAAATGCTAACATTCCACTTCTTAGCTTGTGCTTGGTTCCTTGTGTCACGGAGCTGCAGCAGATAGGAACTACAACCCACACATCATAGAAGCTGTATTAGTTGAAAGCAAGGGGTGACACTACCCACATCAATCACCGAGAAGCTGGTGGGAATGCTAAACTTTATGCTGCAACTTTAAAAGGTTGTGTCATTGTTCCATAACCAAAATTAAGATGGATGCTGAAGTTAATGTTTCAGGGGCACAGTAACTTCCCTAAAGCCGGCGAGGGAAAATTCATGTGCCTTCATAGCACATTCACTTTTTTATATTTTACTGTGGCACTGATAAGAGCATAAAGCAAATTAACACATATTTTCTTTACAGCATTTTATCCTTGTGACTACTTTTTGATAAGAATGTGAGCCGGGGTCTAAGCCATGGCTCTTTTGGATGTGGGAAACCGCATTTCAAACCATTGCTCCATTCTACGAAGTCTCCCATCCTAACTCAGTTCAAAAGCTGGGGGCGAGGATGCCATTCGTAGCTCCTTGGAGGAGGGTCAGGATACCTCTAATACTACTATTAGAAGACAACCACCACCTTCCTGAGAGCACTGCCTCCACCAAGAGAAGAGACTGGCCTGCCCTCGTTGGTATACATCATACATTTATTAGTGAATATCCCTCTCAAAATCAGCCACAACATTAAAAAAAATAATGATTGCACTACTTGGTCAAGCAGAACTAGCAACTTTCATTTTAAAAAAAGTACAAATCTGTTAAAAATTTCAATCAGTATAATACACATATATATAATACAACATACTAGTTATGTTAAATGCTACAAACCAATATGATTCCAATGGAATGGAAAAAAAACAAACACTTTTTTAGAGATTTAAGAACCTTTTTTTCTTCTCTATATATTAGCCTTTTTTTCAAATACATACATGGGAAAAATGAGGTAACTGTAAAATGTGCAAGTAACAGAGCAAAAAAAAATTATATATATATATTTATAATATATATATAATATATATATATATATATAAACTTTCTAACACAGAACAAATGCCCTGGTGCCCTACAGGGAGGCTCCTCTCCTTGTAGGGTGAAGCTGAGCTATCCCTCTGGAGGGCACGGGACTGGTAAAAAAGAACAGTAAACAGTCCACTATCCCACCACAGGAAATCATTGGTAAACAGTGGCATCTACAGCGCAATCAGCAATCACAAACATCCTAAATAAATGTTTTAGTAATTTTTTTTGTTGTTTTTTGTTTTAAAATGATAATTTTTAGCTGCTCATTGGAATAAATTCTGCAGCACACGAGCTTGTGAGCTTTCGAGTCGCCACCAGAAGAACCGTAAGGCTTTTCTACCCTCCCCAACCCCAAGTCATCTTTCTGGGGGGCGCGGGGGGAAAAAAAACCCGAGATAGCAGGGCGGGGGGAGGAGAAGAGAGCGTTTTTAAAACAGATGGGCACCGGCACTATTCTGATTGGCTATAAATATAGAAACACCTGTGGTTTTTATATACAGTAAAGACCTTTGGTTATTTGTGTCGCGTGAAATAAGTTGTTATTGTTTTTCCTTCTTTAAAAAAGCTGTGAAACGAGGAGAAAGGCTGGGGCCGGGGGGGGGGTGGAGAGCGGAGGAGGTGGGTCTGACACAAGGCACTGGCTTGACATGTGAGGGAGAGGGGAGAACTGAGTGGTCACAGAAGGACAGGTACTCAAAAGGGGCTGCTGGTGTCTGTGCAGTTTTATATGGCAAGTGGCCCATTCCTTTGTGTGCGCGCACGCAGGCGCATGGGCCGAGACCTGGCTTAGATGTCCGACTGTGGCTATTCTAACCCTCTGGAAAAGTGGGCTGAGAATGAAGAGATTTAAATTATTTGACCTGATCCAAATGACTTCGCCGTTTTTAACCTGTATTATCAGCCAAAGTGCAAACAAGGGGCTGAGCCAGGTGGGGACTTTAAAAAACATTCAATTCATCACAAATTCAGGTGATTAAAAAGAAAGCTCCGGCCTGCCCAGAGCTCAACAGGTTCCTAACTGACTGATCTACCTGCAGGCTAGTTGCTCCTGCCAAAACAAGAGATTGCTACCCAGCTGTAGTTAAGCAGAAAATGCACCTTGCTACATCCTGTCTGTGTGGCTCGGCGTCTTTCTGCAGGACTTTGAAGATCATCCCTGGACTGATAACGGAATAAAAGGTCCACGAGACAAAACAAAAGCAGGTTCTCAGGTCCCCAACCTCCTAGCTCCCCAGAGGACTTCCTGAATTCAAGTGGCTCAAGAACTCCAGCATCTGGGGTCGGGGTGGGGGGGAGAGATTAGCTGTAAGCACCAATGGCAAAAGGCCTGGTGGCCCCAGCTACACCTAAAAAGACTTTCCCCTGCTTCAGAGGTAAGTATTGCTGAGAGCCAGTCGGCTCAGGAAAACAACAACAACGCAGACAGCTAGACTGCTCCTGCCCATTGTTTTAAGAGAGGCTACTTCCCCTCCCCAGCCACCATCTGAGCTTGGAACACCCCACAGAAAAGAGCCGGGTTGGAAGAATCTAGCTTTCCTTCACAAACGCTGCTCCAAGGCTGGCCCAGACCAATCTGAGTAATGGGCCCATGGTTTGTTCCACCCGCTCCGCTCATGAGTGCCCCTCTGGCATTTGTGTGGCTGGGAGAATGGGATTTGGGGGGGGGGGTGTAGTTTTGTGGGAAGAGGCTCCAGTTTATGGATAAAGGCCCTGGATTGCTGGATGAGCAGGAAAAGCATGGCCCCGCTCTCATCTGCTGCCATCCATTCCAAAAGGGGGTTGGGTACAAGCCAGACCTCAGCTGGCAATTAAAGGCAGCAGGAATCAATGAACCCAGCTGGGGAGAAGACGGAGAATATGGGGGGGGGGGAGAGAGCTCCACCTTTTGGACGGTGGAGGAAGTTGAATTCTGACAGAGCCACACTGCCAGACACATCCCACTAGCTGATACAGGGACAAGGTTCATGTGCCGGGAAAAGATGCAGAGAGGAAAGGGGGCAATGGCAGAGCATGTCAGCGGGTGCAACTTCACCCACCTCTGCAGCACCATGAAAGAGAAGATGCACCTAACAAAACCCTCTCCTTTCTGAGGCCGCTACTAACCACTCCCCCCACCGCCTGCCAACACTGACCCTTGCAAGCCTACCTCGAGGTTCAGTCCTGTATGTGCCCCTCCTCCCACAGCTGCCTCCCCCTGGCCCAACCAGGTTTCAAACCCATCTCTCATCTGGAGGGGGTGGGGTAGGGGGGAAGGGGAGGGAGAAATGCCCTGAAAAGCGTTGACGGTCCTTGTGAGGCGTTGCGGACATGTGCAGTACAGTGCATGGCAGTAATCAGCTGAGCACAAAGAACTCCCTCTTTAACCCCCCCACCCCATCACCCCCACAGCTGGCTAGAGAGTTAGCCAATACCAAGTTCCAAGCTGGTCATAACATGCATGCATAATTTGTGAACATTTACATTAGGTTTCATCGTCCTCTCCGAGTCCTTCTTGCCAGGCTTCCGAACACAAACCAACTACATGGCGAGGGCTTCTCTCTCTCTTTCTCTCGGCTCCATGGTATAATCATGCAAAACAACTTTTATTTTTTTAAATATATATTTTTTTAAACGATCACAGGTTTCTGTAACAGGGTGGCAGGTCGGTTGCTTTCTTGCTTCAAACCAGCAGGTGCTTTTTTTTTAGGTAGGATTAGTGTGTGTGTGTGCGCACACACACGCAACACACGCACGCACGTGCACAGAGAGACAGGAAGGCACACAACTCGCATGTATGCTCGTCATGGCGAAACAGCCCACCCCACCCCACCCCACGGTGCCTGACCCCAGAGCACAAGCATCAGGCCATGCAGGGGGGAAAACAACACTCCGTTGGGGGTGGCAGTAGGAGGGCCAAACTTCACTTGGGGCCCCCGGAAGGGGGGGGAGGAGGAGGAGAAATGGTCGAGCGAGTGGAAAAGGGAATGGAAACGTCTGCCTGGTCCTACGCAGAAAGGAAAGAAAGCTGATGCAGCAGTGCATCTTGGAGGGAGGAGCGGTTTTCGCCAGATGGGCTTTTCTCCATGATAGCTAGTGCAAGGGTAGACAACAACAAGATTAATAAATAATTCCCCATCTGCTCGCTGCCCAGGATCCTACTGCAGAGAGCTTCGCAGCAGCCCTGGCAGCTTTTAGGGGCTTAGCCTGGGGTCAGCACAGAAAAGCGGGCAGGATTTACAGTGGGACTAAAGGCTTCTGCTTCAGTTGGCTGAGCATCTCCCTCTTCCCTGCAGAAGGAAAACAGGGAGAGAGGGAGGCAGAGAAACACACGTGCCCTCCCCTGAGATATGGGGGAAACAGTGGCACAAACCTTATTTTTATTTTTGGGAAGGGAGGTTGGATTTCATGGAGATGGGTGCTGAGAAAGAAAGGGGGCCCCAAGGAAAACAACTGAGGTGCAGAAGGGAAGAGAAGTAATTGTCAGCTCTAGCTAGAGAACATGATTCTGAAGACAGGCCTCGCAGAGAGCCTCCACCTTACAAATGTATGAAGCAGAGCCAGCTGCTTCACCACGAGGATTCTCACTCACTCAACTCATGCTTTCCTCCACGTCTTTTGAGGGGGAAATGGGTCTCCACACGCCCCTCTGCAATGAGAAGGGGAGCTGAGTGGGATGGGATATTGCTGGGCCTTGCACAGGCCTGTTTCGCTCCACCACCACCACCACCACCACCACCACCCTGCTACGGAGCCCTGAATGCCGCCCAGCATCCCTGGCATGTAGGAAGGGCAAGATGGGGTGGGTGTGTAAGGAAAAGCCAGAAGAGGCAGCCCTGGGCCATGATTTGTGTGTGGGCAACCCCAAATGGTTCCGGGAAGGCTTTGGGCCACCCCTCATCAGTGCTGCAACCAACCACTTCCACTGCCTGCCACCTGACAACACTGTGCTTTGGGGGGCAAGTGGTTGGGGGGTGGGATTGAAGCAGACACTTCCTCCCCCATCTTTGAGCTGCTCTGCTTTTGAAGGCCCCGATCTGGTGGCGCCAGAAGTGGGGGTGGGAGGGGGACTAAAAATACCTGGGTCAGACAGCCACAACAAAACCAAAACAAGGAAAGGAGAACCAAAACGAAAGGAATGCAAGAACACCTGGAGAGTAAAATGGCGCAAGGATGGAGTCTCTTTGGAGTGCGGAGCACATGGGGAGGCCTCCCCCTAGCGAAGCGTGACACCGCGGAGCTGGCTCTGCCACCAGGCCCAGTCCATGCCACGGAGGGGGAAGGGTAGGGGGGTGTCATACATTGCTTATATTCTCACCACATCCCAGGAGACTCCCCAGAGGCTTAAGCGTACAGGCTGGGCCAAGCCCCTGGGCCAAGGTCCGTATCCTGGAGTGAATTTGTGCAGCAGTGCGTTGATGAGCCTCACTCAGCCTCCCGGTGCACTTCTGAGGCGTCTGCCCGGCAGATTGGGCATGTGCGGTTTGCCTGCAATGACCAATGGCAGGATCAGGAAAAAGGGGCGTGGCTTTAAGGTCAACCACACCCACTAGGAAACGTTTCCGCTGTAGAAGCAGCAGCAGAAGCAGCCTGTATCCATTTATCTGAGACCTGTTGCTTGTTGTAGGTTTGGCATTTTCTCCTAAACTACAGGATGAACAACTAATGAACGAAGGAATGGACTTCTCAAGGTATCAACCGGAACTGGACAAGGACAAGAAACTGGGCTCTATCTCGGACACAGGTGGGAAATTTTTTGGGCTCCAAGGACCCCATGCCTTCATGAGCAACCTTCCAAGGGCCACATGCCAAAGGCAAAAGTGGCCAGAGCAACAAATGCAATTCTCACCTTTGTACAGCAGGCTACATTCTGGCCTTCTAAAACTCAGGTGTTCCTACACAAATCTCTCCATCCAGGATGACAAGAGGCATTACCCTAATGCAAGGATGCATTCCACCCAGGCAAAAAGCACCTGCGCAGCAGGCCTGGCGAGAGGCATGGCATGCGGAGAGAGGGCGTGGTCAAAGGGGGACTCATGAGGGCTGGTTGGCTGAATTTGGCCCCACAAATCTGAGGTTGCCCACCCCTGCTCTAGGGGAACAAGGTAGTTAAGAGCGAACCTCCTCTTCCAGAAGCCCTCCAGTCCAAACCTTTCCTTCTGACATAATTTCCTTTGGATCAGAAGCTAGGTAAAAAACAGGAGGCTGACGTCAGGAATAAACAGGAAGGTTGCAAAACAGAGACAAGATATGGAGTGCTCCTAGGATTTGCACTGAGACCAATGTTACTTAATTTGTTCATGAATAATCTGGATTCAGCTGAGAAATAAAGTGGCCAAGTTTGTGGTTGACAACAGATTATTTAAGATGGTGGAAGCCCACAAACTCCCAATAAAATTATGAATGAGATTCAATATAAGTAAAGTCAAGTAATGGCGGTGGTATGGCCACATTTGGAATACTATGCACCATTTTGGTCACTTTCTCAAAAAGGGTCTCATAGGACTGCAAAAGGTGAGAAGTTAACAAGTGAAATTTACAGAACTGCGCAGCCACAAGATGTGGCTGTGGCCCAGGTGACTTCAAAAGGGCATGGGACAAAATTAATGGAAAATAAGTATATCAATGGCTAATTGCGTGTGATGGTTCAACAGCCTCTAGGCATGCCTCTGAATACTAAGGGAAAGGGGGGGAGGCACTTTCTTTTGCAACCCATTTGAGGGCTTTCTAGGGGTATCTGGCAGACCACTGCTGGAAACAGAATGCTAAACTCAAAGGACCCACTGTCTGATCCACTAGACCTGTTCTTAAGTTTAAGGCCCTGCATACCTGATGGTCTTAACCGCCATCATTCAGCCTGGACACCAAGGTCCAGCTCTGAGGGCCTTCTGGCAGTTCCCTCACTATGAGAAGTGAAGTTACAGAGAACCAGGTAGAGGGACTTCTCGGAAGTGGCACCCACCCTCTGGAACATCCTCCTGTCAGAAGTCAAGGAGATAACTATGTAACTTTCAGAAGACTTCTGAAGGCAGCACTGTATCAGGAGGTTTTAAGTGTTTGATGCTTTATTATGTGTTTATATGAGTTGGGAAGCCGCTCAGAGTGGCTGGGGCAACCCAGCCAGATGCGTGGGGTGATTATTATTATTATTAAGGATTTTCCCCACTCCTGTATTTAAATTAGGATTCTGAGTTGCCTTACAGGTGCACAAAAATCATTGAACAGTCATTGCATTTGCACAAGTAAAAGCCAGAGTCTCTACTTAAAGGATTTGCCTGCAATTTACCCACAATGTTGAATGGAGATTAGAAGCAGTGGTTGAATCCCAGATTTCACTCCTGCTGACAGAAGGGGGCGGAGGTGACTTTTTCCAAGTCACTCTTCCCTCTGCATGCCCTCCGGAAAAACTGCTCCAGAGGTGTGCGAAACTTCCCCAGAACAGCAGGGGAGACTTCCATGGCCAGGAAGAGCCCTGCCTCTCCTGCAAAGTCCCTAGATCCACCCCGCAGGAGTCCCCTTCCCCTTCACGGTGCAGTTGCAATCAACAGCCAGTAGAGAGCGCTGTCAAAGCTGATTCCGAAGCTCTGGGTCTCTCAGATCGCTTACACAGAGGCCCGTTCCCCCCTGTATGCCCGCCCCCCACTCGATGATTATGCGCTTCCGAATATGCTCCTTGCCGATTAAGCCGCAGCATCCCGGACAGAATAATCTTTTAATGCAATGGTTCCCCAGTGATAGAGCAAGAGCAGCAGATGTTACCTTTAACCATTTGTCGATGCACTTAGCGTGGAACTCGTGGTTGCAGGGCAGAACTCGCAGCAGCTGCCTGACTTCGAAGTCGCTGAAGCACACAACACACCTGGGGAAGGGAGGGAGAAGGACCCAGTCAGTGCAGTGTCAGACGAACGACAAAGGAGCAGCACGCCAATAGCTATCCACTGTCTTCAAGCACCGCATGGTCCAGTTTCCCCACAGGGGCAAGATTCTCTGCGGGCCCATAGGAAGCTGCCTTATGCTGAGTCAGATCTACAGTGATGGGCTCATGCTGTCCAGGGTTTCAGGCAGGATTCTCTCCCAGACCCACCTGGAAATGCTGAGGACCCACGACTTTCTGCCTAGGAAGTAGGGGCTCTGCCACTGAGCTTCAGACCTCCCACTCTTTGGGAGTAGTGTCTCCCACTGTTTCCAGCAGAATCTTATTTAGGTGCCCCATACATACTTCCAGGTGACACTGCATGATCATGCTAGGAAAAGGATTTCACCACTCAACTCGATTGTACATATCAGTAAGGGTTGTTGTCTTCCCCTGACAATTCACAGATCTGCTCGGGTACAATCTGAACTCACTCCTCAAGAAGCCCTTCTAATCCTAAAGGTGGTCAGATGTACTGCCCCTTCAAAAGCAGACTTAAAAAACAACAACAAAAAACACCAATGACTGGGTGAGAGTTCAGTTCCTCCTCACCTTCAGCTGCATATTATTATGAGTAGTAGTATACCGCCCTTTGAGTTCCAGAAAAACATCTACTTCTGCTTCATTGACTATGCAAAAGCCTTTGACTGTGTCGACCACAGCAAACTATGGCAAGTTCTGAAAGAAATGGGAGTGCTTGATCACCTCATCTGTCTCCTGAGAAATCTCTATGTGGGACAAGAAGCTACAGTTAGAACTGGATATGGAACAACTGATTGGTTCAAAATTGGGAAAGGAGTACGACAAGGCTGTATATTGTCTCCCTGCTTATTTAACTTATATGCAGAATTCATCATGCGAAAGGCTCGGCTGGATGAATCCCAAGCTGGAATTAAGATTGCAGGAAGAAATATCAACAGCCTCAAATATGCAGATGACACAACCTTGATGGCAGAAAGTGAGGAGGAATTAAAGAACCCTTTAATGAAGGTGAAAGAGGAGAGCGCAAAATATGGTCTGAAGCTCAACATCAAAAAAATGAAGATCGTGGCCACTGGTCCCATCACCTCCTGGCAAACAGAAGGGGAAGAAATGGAGGCAGTGAGAGATTTTACTTTCTTGGGTTCCATGATCACTGCAGATGGTGACAGCGGTCATGAAATTAAAAGACGCCTGCTTCTTGGAAGAAAAGCAACGACAAACCTAGACAGCATCTTAAAAAGCAGAGACATCACCTTGCCAACAAAGGTCCGTATAGTTAAAGCTATGGTTTTCCCAGTAGTGAACAAACCTCTCCATTCTTAAGGAATTCAGCCCTGAGTGCTCACTGGAAGGACAGATTCTGAAGCTGAGGCTCCAATACTTTGGCCACCTCATGAGAAGAGAAGACCGCCTGGAAAAGACCCTGATGTTGGGAAAGATTGAGGGCACAAGGAGAAGGGGGCGACAGAGGACGAGATGGTTGGACACTGTTCTCGAAGCTACCAGCATGAGTTTGACCAAACTGCGGGAGGCAGTGGAAGACAGGAGTGCCTGGCGTGCTCTGGTCCATGGGGTCACAAAGAGTCGGACACGACTAAACAACAACATACGAGCCCTTCATCCAAATATCCCAACAGAAAAACAAAATGCATAATAAAATAAAAACAAACCAATAACCTTCCTTCTACAAACACATGTAAAAAGCTATAGAACAGCCAAACACTTGGCTGAAGAGAAACATTTTCACCCGGCACCTAAAGATGTGTAATGAAGGCACCAAGAGAGCCTCCCTGGGAGAGAATTCCACAAACAGGGAGCCACTGCAGAAAAGGCCTGTTCTTGTGTTGCCACCCTCTGGGCCTCTTGTGGAGGAAGCACATAGAAAGGGCCTCAGATTATGATTGCAGAGTCTGGAGCGGTTCATATGGGTAGAGTTGGTCCTTGAAATACTGCGGTCCTGAGCCATTTAAGGCTATATAGGTCAGAACCAGCACTCTGAATTGGGAAACTAATTGGCAGCCAGTGCTGTTGGGCCAGGATCGGTGTAATATGCTCAAACTGTCTTGCCCCAATGAGCAACCACAATCAGCGCAGATTTTGGCCAAGACCTCCCCACCCCCATGCTTTGAGCAGGGGTTGGGGTTTTTGAATAGTCTTTCCCACTCTCAGGCATTTCTCATGGTTATTCATTTAAATATTTAATTGGTCCCTTTTTTATTAACCCCCCCCACCAATCTATTATTTTTTCATACTTCAAAGACCACTCTGAATGAAAGGGGCCTTTGATTAGCAGCAGGTCAAAACAATACTTGCAAATCAGGATTGTATATATTCTTTACCTCTTGTGTTTTTAAATTGTTTTAAGTTGTTTCGATTTGGTGTTTTTTATATGGTAACTTTCTAAATATGATTTATAACTGACTGAGGTGTTTTATTAGCTGTAATTCTTTTTTTAATGCATATTGTGAGCTGCCCTGGGTCCTGCACTATGGGAAAGGTAGGATATATTGAAATAAAAAGAATAGATAGGAAGGTCACAAGGACCAGTCAATCAGCCCTCTGCACAGCTCACTTGCCCTAGAAACAGGAAGAACCAGTTGCTCATGAGTTGGATTCGGTTGGAAGTCTGTACGTATATCAAGAAAGAAAAGAAAGAAAAAAGGGTGAGTGCAACCCCCTCCCCACAACACATTTTAAGGTTAAATAATAATAAAAATGGGGAAGTGCAGATCAACAACAGGCTTACAACTCAAGTTATTTATTTCTCGCTTCACTGTATGTTCCATAGGAGAGTCAACATGAATTATTTTATTAATGTGACATCCCACTACCCAATGGAAATCAATGGGCTGAAGTCCACTTCTTCCAGTGGATCCACTCATACTATGACTTAGTCAGGTATTACCCTAGAGTTGCTTATGTTCCACCCTTTCGCTGCAGTTGCATTGCTCAGAGAGACTTACAACAATTTGCAAAATGATGCCGAAGGAAACTCTTTCCCCGACTGCTAGGAAATGGACAACTAAAGATTGGGTCCCTGCAATATGAGCAGGAGACAGCCAGAACTCCCTGCTGCCACTCACATAAAGTGGCAATGACCACCTGTGTTCTAAATCCTGTGTATCTAGTGCTAGTTAGACCATCATCATCATCATCCCCCCCTCTTTTTCACCCTCTCTCTCTCTCTCACATACACACACACACACACACACACACAGAGAGAGAGAGAGAGAGAGAGAGAAACATTCATGCCTGCTATCCCAATTCCTTCCAAATTCAGCTGTGCTGCCTTCTATTCCCCATCTAGAACTTCACTGGAGGACCTCTCTCCCAACACTTACAAGGTTTGCTCCGACTGATGGCTTTCTGGGTTGAAGCGGTAGGACGGAAGGTGTTCGATGTCTGCTTTGGTGAGTCCCCGGGGTTTGGCCTCTCCTAGCCTCTCGGCCAGGTTCAGTAATGCCTAGTGGAAGATTTAAAAAAAGAACATACATACACAGCTGATCAGCTTCCTTCTGGGCTCCAATCAGGCTTCCTCCTACACCCTGAAACCCGCTCTTTCAGCAGTACATTCACCACAGGACGGTTCCTTCTCCTGGCACTGCTGCCACTTGACCCCATCACACGGCAAACCCTACACTCTTCCTGAGAGAGCTGGCTAAGCCAAGTTCCACCATGCACTGGGGGCACCATTAACCAGCTGCTCTAGAGCCTTCCCGCCATTCCGATGCCCCTTAGGGAGAGAGAGGCCAACCCACCTCATAGTTTTCCATCTCCACATCATCCACATCCAAGTCCAAACTTATTGTAGGCCCCACAGCTGTCGGTGACACAGGAAGCATTGATCTAAAGTTCAAAGGTAGAGGGGAGTAGTCAACAGGAGCAGAAAATCGCGCAGGCACACAAACCAAGGCAGAAACCAACCTTGCGTTTTGCATGAGTACATGGGTAGGAAAAGGAGGCAAGTCCATATTCCCACCGAGGGGCCACGCTGAAATCAAGGCAAGGCCCTCAAGCCCTAGACCTCAGAAGCAAAGGGGAGGTTTCTTCCTCATGCAGCACTTCCTCCCTCTGTTTGATCAATGGATACTCACAGGAAGTATGGCAGGAAGCTTGGGTAGTATGGAGGCGGCGGTGGAGGCGGAGGCGGCAGTGGCTGCTGCAATCTGTATCGCTGGGTGTTCAGTCGCCGGGGCATCATGTGTGGATATGGCTGTTGGAAACACCGGAAGATGAGTCAGTTTGATGCGTACTGAGATGGTCTGACTAATCCCTAGGCAGTATATCCCCCATACCAAACAGGACACAAATAAAAATCTGCAGCTAGGAAAATAGAAACATTCTGCACCAAGAAAGGATGAATTCTGCAGCATGAAACATTATCAATCGCTGCAGATCTTCAAAGCCACCTTATACAGGTTGTCTGTATCCCCACGGAACAACGGCACACACATGCACAAGTATTTCCTACACAAGTCGGGGAGTTAAGAGCTGCAAAAGCAAAAGGAAAGCTCCCAAACTGTGAAGAGCCATCCTTTCGTGAAAGGGCATCTACCCACCCACAGAGGCTACTGAAAAGGGCTAGCCAACTCTGGAGAACCCCTGTCACTCATTTTGCACCTCACGGTGTGCAAAGGGTCCTCAGATGGTCAACCCTGCTGAAGCACAGAGTCCCATTATGCCTGAACAAATGAAGGACCCTCTTTAAGAGGCCCTTTCCCCTTCAGGGGGTCCAGTGCTTGAGGCCTCATTGCTATGATCCCAGAACACTCACCACGCCGAAGGGCAGTTCCTGGTGCAGTGGGTCATGGGTGTGTGGAAGGTAATGTAGTGGCACGGAGGGAGACAGTGCAGGAGTATGGTGGGAAGGAGAATAGGAGAAGCCTCCGATAGAGTGCTGTTCACCTCGGAGCTCCACCTCATTGTCTATCCTTTGCAGTGGCTGTGGAGAAAGCAGACAATATACAGGGCTAACTAGAAATGCTGCCATTCTTACTCAGGATAGTACAGAACAGGGTGGTCCAATGTGCAGCCCTCAAGGCCTTTTTGGCAGCCCTCAGCAACACAAGAACCCCCTCCCCTCCCCTTGCGCTGTCTTCCCAAAGATGGGTAAGCGAGGCGCTAAGCTTTGGAAAGGAGGTGGGAGGGCTCTAGGACCTTGCCAGAGCCCCACACTTCCTTCCCAATGGCAGAGCAAGGGTGGGGGTGGGGAGAAGCATCCTATTTTTGCCTTGTTCTCCCCACGCAACAAGATTTTGTCCAGCATTCTGTATCTTGAATTCAAGTCCTGGAAGACCTGCTCCCTGTCCTGCAGGCCTTTTCCCACCGGGCCTAGGCAGGTGGAGCCCTGATGGACTCCAGCTACAAAAAGCTGAGGCTGCAGAACATTCTTGGGCTGCAGTGTTGTTTGAGAGGGTTTGTTGCACATTAATTGATGTTAATGTTCTGTAACTTCATTTTGGATCTTATGATTTATGTGACCATTGTTCCAATTTGGTTGTATATTTTTGATGTTGTGTTTATTGTTTATTACTATTTATCTATGTCGGTATGTAATTTTTTGCATGTTGTAAGCCACCTTAAGCATGGATTTAACTTTGGAAAGGTAGCATACAAATAAAATGATTGATTGATTGAATGGACACTGGGAGGAAGTCCACAGTTCGGTGACAGAACACAGGCTATGCTTGTAAAAGCCCAGTGCGGCCCCCTAGCATCTCCAGGGAGTGTGGGGGGAAAAGGCCCTTCTGGAACCTGAGAAAGCTGCTGGCAGTGAGCGTGTAGACAACACTGGGCTACAAGGACTGAGGGCAGCATCCTATTGTAATTTTAAGATGACTACTGCCCCATCCAAAATCCTACATCAAATCCCTACTTTTGTACTGCACACCAGACACACTCAAACCACTAAGCCCAACTATTACTGCCATATACCCTCTTTTATAACGATGCCTGCTCTTTTAGACCAATACTAAATCCTTGGCACTCCTCCCTCTGGCAGCAAGTTCCTAATGCTGACTACAGTACATGAAAAAGCATAGCGCATAGTCCAGAGAGTCCCATACTCCTCCCAACTAGTAGCATCGCTGGGAACTGTTGCTCCAAATCTGTCATCTCCATTTCATTTAGTCACCCTCCTTTCCTTGCTTCCTCTTCAAAGAGAAGACGCTGAAGGATGGAACCCAAATTATACAGGCAGAAAATATAGGAAGGGTACAGAAGTCACCCAGGGCGGGAGTGTGTGCGTAACAGTGTAGCCTGTAAAAATCTATCCCAACACATGTAGGGCTCATATAAGCGTGTATGGATTCATCTGATCTGCATTCAATCTGCCAAACATATCAGAAAGCCAGACAGGTAACAGACCTCAAGCTTCCAATGCCCTGAAGAAGTTCTGGCCAGCCCTGCTCAGCTCAGGGTTCACTGGTTAGTTCTGGGGGTTGCTGCCTCAACTTCAGTTGCCCACTTAAAAAATAGGAAGATTAACAGCCAGCCTCACAGGATTCATTGTGTTGCATGTTGGGAGGATGGAATTGTGATGTAAGGCATTCTGGACACTGAACAGTTTATAGCAATGTATTATTTCAATCATATATCACCTTGAGCATTCTTATTAAAAGTGGAAATGCAAATCATAAATACTGCAAGAAAAATGTGCATGTTATTATTTTTATTTGTTGAATTCATATACTGCCCTATAACTGGAGGTCTCACAGAATCAAATCAAAATATAAAACCACAAAATACATAATCAAAATAAAACAACCCAATAACCTCCTCCTCAAAAAACAAAACAAAAAAACCCTCACATTTAAAAAGCGCATAGAATGTCAATCAAATCAACCAAAGGCCTGGTTAAAAAGGAAGGATTTTGCTTGGTGCCTAAAGGTGTATAATGAAGGCGCCAGGTGAACTTCCCTGGGGAGAGTATTCCACAGATGGGGAGCCACTGCAGAGAAGGACCTCTCGAGGAGGAGGCACACAAAAAAGGGCCTCAGAAGATGATCTCAGGGTCCAGGTAGAAAGAGGCGGTCCTTGAGATACTGCGCTTCTGAGCCGTTTAAGGCTTTATACGTCAAAACCACTTTGAATTGGGCCCGGAAACGGGGGGCCACTAGGGGGCGCATCAGAAGATGGCTGACAATAACATCTCTCCGACCCACACGAGGTAATTTGGAGGCTATGATGGGAGTAATTAGCCTCCCTACCCCCCCCCAGGATGGTGGGGGGGACTGCCCTTGCCTGCTGTGCCCTATACCACCCCCGAATTTGTGGGGATGGGGGCACTAGGCACAAAGCCCTCCTGTGGGATTTCGGCGCTCCTGGACGCCGTCTCTGATTTGCGCCACTAGCTGCAAGAACTTCAAAAGAAACAATTTGGATGAAGCAAATGCACATATTTCAAGGAAGGAGGGGGAGTAAAGACTGCTAACAGAAGAGATCTCTGATAAAACAAGACGAGTCGGAGGAACAAGTATACATTATGAGAAAATATGCCAAGACTCGGTATGGTAAAGGGACTGATGACTGATGGGGGAGGGGGGGAAAAAAACTTTCCTTTCTTTCCTTATATGATTAAACAAGAATCCCCTCCCCTCACAAGTCAGAAATGTTATTTTAAGGACTTAAGCTGTGGATTTAAGGCTGTGTGGAGATAAAACTTTCGAACCAAAGCATGTTTTAAGAAGAGCGTGGAATGTATAAGGGCTTTGGAATGATGCAGTTAAAAATGTCGTCGCCATATTGGGAAGTTCTGTCGGAGGACTTAAGTCTGGGAGGAGAAATAGAGAAATAGAGCTGTTTTTATATTGTGGGTGAAACTCCTCAGAGGCACTTAAGAACGACAGTTCTGTAATTAATGATGGAAAGAGCGATGTTATCTATGAAGGCGATGATATATGGAAACCATCTCGATTTGAGGATTGGAAGAACGGAAAAATTCACACAGGATTATTATTGGTGTTTATCGGCTTAAGGAGACTATCAGAAGAGATCATAAAGAAAATAGAGAAAATATATGAACAAGATGTGATGTGGAAACAGCAAGATAAGACTGGATAGAATTATGAACTCTGTTTAGACTGATTTGGACTGATTTGGACATTAAAGCAGTAGCAAGAAGATGATCAGAATCCCCCTTCGGATCTTGAAATATGGGTCCCCTCAACAACAAAATTTAAAATTCGGCTTTGTAATTCGGAATTTATGTGATGTGATTTGATTTGATTTGATTGGCTGGTTAATAAAAATTATTTTTAAAAAAATGAATTGGGCCCAGAAACTAATTGGTAGCCAGTGCAGTCGGACCAAGATTGGTTTAATATGCTTAAACCATCTTGCTCCAGTGAGCAACCTGGCCCCTGAATTCTGCACTAGCTGAAATTTCCAAACCATCTTCAGAGGCAGCTTCATGTATAACACATTGCAGTAATCTAACCCTGAGGATACCAGATCATAGACAACAGTAGTTAGGCTATCCCTGTCCAGATAGGGGCATAGCTGAGGCACCAGCCGAAGCTGATGGAAGGCACTCTGGGCCACTGAGGCCACCTGAGCCTCGAACAACAGCAAAGGATCCAGGAGTACGCCCAAGCTATGAACCTGCTCCTTCAGGGACAGCATAACCCCATCAAGAGCAGGCGACCACCCAGCCATCTGGTTGCAGTGCCATGATCCAATCTGCCCCAGGTGATCAGTGGCAGCAAGGGACCGCTCCTTACCCCAATCTCTCTCTCATGCATTGCCAGTTTTATGCAGAACCCCCTCCTTGTTCCACCTAGTCACAACAGATGTGGCTTATGGATGGAACTGCTGCCACAGAGGCACTAAGTACCGTCACTCCACACTGTCCTACATGGTACATACTGAGCAAGGTCACTTCATGCCTGCAGATGTGTGCAGCCCAGGCTTGGCTTTGCAGCTAGCCTGAGCCAGACAGGATTCTAGGCAACTGACTGTGGTACATTGGATACAGTGAAAAGGAGACCCGTCCATCATACGGACAACCGACCTTCAGTGTTCGAAATTAGCCAGGCACATTTTGCATGTGGCTTCCAGCCACTTACAACCAAGTACAATCAACATGAGTTTCAGGAACCAAAATGCTTTTTCTGTGTAGCCTGAGCAAGAGCAGACACCATTAAGAAAAGGAGGTCTGCATAGGCCAATATGTATATGGACTGTCCCTGGATCAAGCAACTTCTCTTCTTTAAGTTCTCAAAGCTCTTAACCTAACTCAAGGTTGTCATCTGAACTAGTCAGATGTTTAACTGCTATTCAATTACAGTCAGCCCACTGTTTGTGGGGGGAAAGAAGACTTTGGAGCTGTCTTGCCCCAAAATGGCAACTAGATGTTCGGTTTTGGCAAATGAAACCTTGGTTTAAGGAGCCATTTGGCACGTAGCTTATATATGTGAGTTCCTAGCATTGTCTACCTACCTCTGATGACCACTGGAAACCAGGTACAGTTCACTCTTGTTACAACGGCAAGAGACCTCCTTTGAAGACTGAAACCCAAGTCTTCAACTGTACGCTACGCTGGAGAACTGAGATTGCACCAGCTTTGATATCCCTCAGAAGAACAGAGCTGAGAGCATGGAGTGGGGATAGGACCCAGACATCCCTCCCTTCCCTCCGCCAAGCCCACCCGCTTGCCACCCCAAACAACTTACCATGCGAGGGTGCTGGGGTTGGAGTGGGACAAACTGGCTGAGGGGAGCCATGTGTGGAGGCTGGTGTGGCGGCACAGGCGGTGGAGGGTGCAGGATGTAATGGTCGCTGGAAATGAGCGGCGGGAACGTTTGGTAGGAGACAGGGAGCTGCTGCATGGCACAGGCCTGGATCAGCTATAAGAAGGGAGGGAGGGAGGGAAGGGAAGAGAGTCACCATTAAGAGTCACCATGAGAAGGCTAGGTAAAGGTAAAGGTACCCCTGCCCGTACAGGCCAGTCGTGTCCGACTCTAGGGTTGCGCACTCATCTCGCTCAAGAGGCCGGGAGCCAGCGCTGTCCGGAGACACTTCCGGGTCACGTGGCCAGTGTGACGAAGCTGCAGCTGGCGAGCCAGCACCAGCGCCACACACGGAAACGCCGTTTACCTTCCCGCTATAAAGCGGTACCTATTTATCTACTTGCACTTAGGGGTGCTTTCGAACTGCCAGGTGGGCAGGAGCTGGGACCGAATGACGGGAACTCACCCCGCCGCGGGGATTCGAACCGCTGACCTTGCGATCAGCAAGTCCTAGGCACTGAGGTTTTACCCACAGCGCCACCCGCGTCCCTACAACCAACTTCAAAGGCAGCTGACGTCGGTCTGGCTATAGAACAGGGTGGGGAGAATCCCATGAGCAGCAGGCTATATCCTCTCCTCTAAGATTGGCAGGGAACCTACAGGCCTTAAGCAGAATGTCAATATATCCTAGCCTCTTTTTATAGGTAACAAAACCAGCCCGGCTGATCAGGTATCAAACCCAAACAGAGAAGTGGTGCAATACCCCGCTCATGGCAAATCAGAGAACAAGACATTTAACCTTCGCTGCTCTCTCCCCATACCAAGAGACTCACGGGGGGTGGGAGGCAGCAGAGTGGGTAGTGCTGTCCGCTGAACATCACTGAGCATGCTGGGAGCTGCTGCGCACTGCAACCTGGGATGTGCTGGCCGGTGTGAATGGGGAAGCCTTGTGTGGTTACTGTGGTCACCGTGTAGGAGAGAGGGATGGCTCCCTGATGCACCTGGAGGAAAGAGAGCAGCAGCGGCAGAATCAAAAGTCACACCTCCTCACATGGGGATGTTCAATCTGCCTTAGATAACCCCTCGCCTGCCACTGCCACCACCACCACCCAAGAGCCCACGGCTAAAGTATGCCAAAGAATGATACAAGAGTCAGATAACCACAAAGTAGAAATTGATGAAATACAATTCATAAGATTAGCGTTCCAAATCTACAGCAAACCCACAACTTATGTGCATTTAACTTGTGCACATTCTACACACGTGGCAAAAAATAAAATAAAAATTGAAATGGAGGCAGAGTTGTGAGAAAAATGGCTTTGGCAATCCCATCCGCCATTGAACCCAATGTATTTTGACCATATGCAATTTTGATTTTAGACGTGATTGCTGTAACATAACCCCCACAGAAGTTGTGGGCTTAATGTACAAGGAAGTCCAAGAATTTAAGAGTTGGGGTAACACGCTCTCTGAAATAACACTTTCCAGGCTGCTATGTGTAAGTTCTGGAGATCAAAGATGAGTTATATAGTACTTAGCTTCCTCTAGGAACCAGCACTGCAGCTGACAGACACTTGCAGCTTCTCCCTTGAAGAAGCTTTCCCATTATGGCTCTCGGGGCGTGAGGGCAAAACTTTCTGTAGGTCACAGAATTAATATTTGAACCTATGACTAGCTCATTTCATCTCCTACTGGGAAGCTGCAGGACTCTGTACAATATATGAATTTCTAAAGCTCTGCATTCAAACTGACTCTCGGTGAAAATTTCCTGAGGTGAATCTAGTGACCCAACTACCCATCAAGCATCTGGAATCCTCCTGGGCTTCTTTTAAGAAATAGTTAGATCTTGAATGCTCGTCCACATACTTTCAATTGCATTTCATCATATATACATTCTGTTTACGACTTATCCTAAGTGGTTTACTTCTCCTGTTTCCAAGTCCCTCATTATGGGATATGCGACATGCACAGAAAACTGGCATTTTTGACCCTCTGGTCTCCCAAAAGGTTGGGCAAGCTCCCAAACTGAGACATAACCCTCACACCAGGGGACAGATCTACAGTTAGTTTATTGCCTTTGATGAAAACGATATCCTGAGTTTTATTTTCATTTTATTTTGCAGATGGTTAGCAATGTAATTTTATTTTATTTTTATATTGCACAGTGCGATGTGGAGAAGGATTTGTTATTTGAAAAAGCACTGGGTTCAGTCTGTGCACCTGAAGGCCTCCTTCCTTCCTTCACTAGAAGATGAACGTTGTTCCACCAGCTGAAAAGGGTCCCAAGTTGGGGTGTTCGATCCTTAGCCCACCTATTTTGCTTGTGATGGGTGGTTTTCAGATATATGTTAGATATAGATAGAATGGAAGGGAGAACAGTGCTATTGTGTCATCCCCCCCCCCCCAGCAAATGGCCTGTAAAAAAGTCTTCCACAGCCACTGAAGTTTTGTTTTGTGGGAGGTCTGCAGGAATCCCACTGCAGGGACTTGCACTCCGTATTTGCTAGACACACCAGTCCAACCTATTTTGGATCTTACAGCCAAAAGCAGCACATGGTACAAAATCAAACTTCAATATGACAGAACGTTCATGTCCTTGGGTTTGGTTGCTTTGTCAGTCAGGAAATGGAAGTTCTGGTGGAGAGCAACATGGAGAGCAGGAGTAGCTAAGCTGTAGCCCTCCAAACTCTCATCAGTCCCAGCCAGCATTGGCCAAGGTTGATGGGAGCTGTAGGCCACCAACAGATGGGAGGCCACAGATGAGGTACCCTGATGCAGAAAGATGCCCTTTCTCTGTGCTCAGGCTAGCAAGGAAGGTGCCAGCTTTTTGCTGAATACTGTTGGGAGTGGGCACCCGCTGCCAGGCACTCTACTGGCCTGGATACAGCTGTGCCCATCTCCATTGACAAAAACGGAGTATATCCAACACAGAACAGCCTTCCACTTCAGTGGCGGAAAAGTGAAGGGAGCAGATGTGCTTGCTCTGACCAGGTCTGCTGGTCTTGGTCAGCTTGGTATCTAGGCAAATCCCAGCCACAGTTTCTCCACTGGTGGGACAAGATTCCAGCCCTTGGAATCCGCAGAGTTCTGAGCCATCTACCCCCCACCCCTCCCCAGGCACTGTCCTTACCTGCTCATGGAGATCCACCATGAATGGATGCTGGTGGGGTGGGTGTGCAGCCGGGTGAAGCATTCGTGGTGGCGTATTGGCCAGAACGTACGCCGGGTGCTCATCTACAGGGGTGTGTGGCTGCTGGAAAAAAGCCGGGTGCAAGTAGTTCTCATCCTGGGCTAGGAGAGTTTGCAGAGGTCGCTCACGTCGGCCCCAGTGGTGCCGGGAAGAAGGGCTGTGGAGCCAGTTGTGGGGAGAGAAATATAGAGGGGTGACCCCAGGGGCCAGCCAATTATCTGCGCTGAGCTCTCAGCTACAAATTCACCCATTTTATTTTATGTTGTTGTTTTTTTACAGCAGGGTTAGGCCAGAACAGCAAGACAAGGGAGCAACTGTTGGTGCAGCAAAAAACTAGGACACAAGTTCAGTCATAACACTGAATACAGAGACATAACACGGAACAAAGCCTTTGAGTGGGTTCCTTTGAGCAGAAAGCTAAGAGATAAGATAGAATCTAAATATATATTATTTTATTATCATTGCTGCATTCTTTCCAGGACTCTGGTTTAACCAAACCCTTCAGCATACAAAGTGAATCTGTTCTTCCCGGTATCTCAGGCAGGACTGGGGAACCTGTGGTCCTCTGGATAATGTCCAGAGTGGCTGAGCCTGATGGGAGTTGGAGATCAGCAATATTGGGGGAGATGGGAATAGGTTAAAGTGTCACATCTCAAAGAGCCTCCCAAATATGGCATGTTCCCAGCATCTGGAGCAAAGCTAGCTTAGTATAAGGCAAGTAAATTAATCCTAAAATCATTAAAACACAGGCTTGCTATGGAAGCCTTTCAACTGATGGTTCAACACCTTTCCGCTGGTAATCCTGGTCACCCCAAGTTTTTCCTTCTGCACCTGCATCCTGGATGTGCATTGCAACACAGATGGCTACCTGAACTCTGGAGTATCTGGATTAATTTTGTTCAGATACCTACACAAACACCTTGCATGTAAACAAGCTGTGCGTGTCAACGGGATAACACCAGATGGACAGTGCAAGGTTTTCTTCTCATTTAACTTCATATGAGAGGAAGATGGGAGCTGGCGGGTAAAGCAAATATGCTCCAGAAAATGTTGGCTTACATTAATATGGATTGCACTTTTGCTTTCAGAATTGCATAAGGAACCTTTTGGAAATTACAGGGGACCACTTTCGCTATCCGCTTACATACAGGGAGACTCTGGCTTTTCCAGCGCTTGCCCTAAGAAACCTCCAGGTGATCTGCACAGTGAAAGAGAGGAAGAGTCATACCTTCTCCTGAGGTGTGCTGGGCTGTCACAGCTTCCCCCTGAGAATCGTCGCTGGTCAAAGGGGACAGAAGGAGGCCGCCTATTCACTGCCAGTTCCCATGGTCGCATTGGGGACGTTGGCAAGGCAGGAGGGGGTGCTGGATCTCAGACTCCAAACACAACAGCACCCCGGTTCTTTGGGATCTGTGGAAAGTGGAGAAACAGCCAGTGAGCCGGAGCCTGGAGGCAAGGAGAGGCGTCAAGCAGTTTCAGTTCATGACAATAGTCTCCGGATCAGTCGTGCCAATGCTAGGAGGCTACAGCACATCGGCAAGTGGTGGGGAAAATGCTTCATGCATTCAGTCACAGACCAGGCCTCTTCCCTGATTACATCTCCTCCCACAATGCACATGAGGTGCTCTCCCCGAATGTCTACTTCCTCTGCTCAGACCCCTTCCACCAGCCTTTCCCTTCCTCTACCTGTATCTCTCCATGTATCGTATTCTACCCCTGCCTCCAGGGCAGCAGAGGGTCTCCCTTAATCCCCACCACAGCTCTGTGAAGCAGGCTAGGCTGAGACACACTGACCAAGTGAGCTTTGTGGCTGAGTGGGCATGTGGCGGATTTGCCTTTTGGCTTTGAAGCACCAAGTTCAAACACTCTCACCACTACACCACACGCGGACACGCCTCTTCCAGGGGAGAATGTTTTGTGAATCGGACGTTGACCGAGAGGCATGCAAATGTATGGCATATTTTGAGGGGGGAGGGTTAATATGGAGAAGTGTTGCTCCCCCCCCCCCCATGAGCACAGGCCACTATTGCCAACCAAGTGCCAATCTATGCCTGTCTAATGGCGGAAGCAATCTCAGAAAACCAGACCGCTCGCAGCCGAGCCTGTTCCCAAAGGTGGGAGGAGGGGGCAAGACAGAGCAGAGCTCAAAGGCTCTGAGGACAGAGCGGTGTGCGCATAAAGTAGCTGTGATAAAAGACCAACCCCCCCCCATGGGAACTGCTCCTCGGCACAAGCTTTGTACTTTCCTGCCCCCATCTCATCAACGGCATCAATTTCATCACCATTAGCGGAAAGGCTGCACGTCCTATTAAGCACACAGCTGGCAAATGACCCAAACAAAGCAAGGAGATGCCCCCAACTGCAATGCTTCTGCGAACAGATGACTTTGTAACAAATCCCCGGAATTAAAACACAGCTGTGGTGCTTTTCTACAGGGTCCAGGCCTTGGCATGGGTGGACAGGGTAATACCAAGGTGTCTTGAGCACTGAGCACCACGGGCTGTGTGAGCAGCCCCAAGTCTCTTCAGAGAAAGAAATGTCACTGGGCAGAGTTCTGTTCCCTTACAGTATCCTTGTTATTTTATTCATTCCCATGGAACACACCATGAGCAGCCAGAACCAAGCCTGTTTTGCAGAAGCCACTGGCAGGCTGGATGTGGGCAAACAAGGTGAAATACAGCCGGGACAAGGAAGCCTAGTGGTCCTGGGGCTTGATCTGGACAGGGCTGAACTCCCCTTTCAAAATCAGCTTCACTGTTTGCGAGTGCTCCAGGCCTCAGTTTTGATCCTGGATGGTCCATGTAGTGGCCCTGGCCATAAGTGATTCTGCTCCGCTTCAGCAGGTGCCAGACCTGCCCAAAGTCAAGCATACACTAGTAGTACCCATTGATATTGGATTGCTGTCACACACTTTTACGTGGGGCTGCCTTTGAAGACCACTAAAAATAATAAAATAAAATTCTACTAGCCCAGAATGCCGCCAAAGGAATTTTGAGAAGTATCAGGATTTAGGGTCACATTACTACCAGCTGTACAGGCCAACAGCCTGGTGCAATTAAGTTCTGTGCCATCAGGTAGGGACAAACACACTCCAAAAGTATGGGGTGTGTGGAAGTCAGTTAGTCTCTCACAACTCCTTATTCCAGGTATTCCTGAAATGTAGGTGTTGCAGGACACTCACTCCTTAATTTAGGGAGCAATCTATGCTTTTATTTCTACGGCTTTGGGGATCAATTCTACCCCTAACTGGAATGACTGAGAAGGCCAAAAAACAACAACCCCAAAACACTCAATCTAGGGATAAAAGTAAACTCAAAAATGATGTTCAATGTTTTTTATACTTAATTCAGAACCTATTCTGTCCATTTTGTGGGGGAAATAACAGATGAAAAGACTGTGGGCAACATCTAAGTAAGTAGATCTGCTAGCCCAAGTATTTCCACTTGTGCCACGGAACTTCTCCCTCTCTTCTCTACACATTCCCCTAAATATGTTATGGGGCTTCCACTAACCCTGCGATAGATTTGGAGAGGGCACAGGGGTGGGAGAAGTTCTGTTGCACATGTGGAAATCCTTGCACGAGCGCAGGCATAGGCAAACTCGGCCTTCCAGAGGTTTTGGGACTACAACTCCCATCATCCCTAGCTAACAGGACCAGTGGTCAGGGATGATGGGAGTTGTAGTCCCAAAGCATCTGGAGGGCCGAGTTTGCTTATGCCAGCACCAGCAGATCTATATGTTGTCGATTTTCATGTAATAGACAAATCACTCCCTTCCCTTAACAGTACCACAAATGGTAGCAGGGGTCAACAGTACCCCAAAGGCATGGGGAGGACAAAATTTGCCAGAAAACCCCCCACAGGTGACACTGACTGAACCCACACAACTGCAAACAGGCCTGAGAAGTGAGCCAGAGTGGCACAGTGTCACAGAGTTTTGGACAAGGACTGGGGAGATCCCGGTCCGCCTCCCCTTCTTCTCACTGGGTGTCCTTAAGCCAGCCACAATCTCTCAACCTAACCTACCTCACAAGGTTGTTTGCAGAGATAAAAGGGAAGAACCATACATGCTGCCTTAAGCTCCTTGGAGAGACTGGATGCAATTAAAATAAGCATCAACAGAACACTAGGATTAGGAAGTCACACAGGGCAGCAATTTGAAAAACAGCAACAGGGTTACCCTAGTCTAAGCTTCAGGAGAAAGTCGCTTTGCCAAATACACACACATATATAGACACAAACCCAGCTACAAGGTAGGCAAGGTGAAGAAAACTGTATGCAAAGTGATTGATGTCAGACACTGGCTCCCAGCATTGTGGATGCAGTGGACTGGATTGTTTCCCTAACACTGAATGTAGCCACCATATTAACCAGGAACGCAAGTTATATTAGTCTTATCAGAAAAAAATCTAGTTTAATTCGACTCTATATCCTGGTTGCAGTCGTTCTGATCCCTTACTTCCACAGGGAACGAAAGGTCAAAAGCCTTGTCCCCCCACCCCCACAAGCCTGCCACATTCTCACAGACCTTCTCCCAGCTGAGCAACCTAGTGCCACTGCATCCCTCAGAGTCATTTCTGATCAGCATATGGAGCAAGTCGGTGCCCTCAATCTTTCAGTGCTGCTGTCAGTGCCCTCAATCTTCCAGTGTCCCCTAATCTTCGGGAATTTGAGCTCGGCAACCTCATCATCTCCTTAATGAGTACAGGCATGGCCCCAGCCAGGTCCCGAAATTCAGAGCTCCGTGCCCATACCGGGGGTCACCACACTCATTTGCTGAATATATACATACATATATATGCACACACTGAACTGTACTTTCCTTCCAGCCCTGATCACCATAGAAACCTCCACGCCCAAGGTTTACCAAGCATATGGATGTTATAAAAAACAAGCTCTTCCAATGGGTCTGCAGCCCAAAACCCCCTGCTGATCATCTCCCTATGATGCTTGCTAATCAACTTTATTTGCAAACGCACACCTAAGAGTGAGACGAAAATGAAAACATTTCTCAAGTGTTCTTGGTCATGGCTTCACATGGCCACAGTTTTTATTTGCCTAGCAAAAACAATCTTCATAGGAGGGTGAGGGACAGTGGAGGGAAGTCACAAGGGTGTTTTAATGTTTGTGACCTAGGGTGGTAGTGTAATATGAATTTTGTTTTGTGTCTATGTGTTTGTTTGTAAATAAAATTTTCTAATTAAAGGGGGGGGGGGAATCTTCATCATTTTCTTAACATTTCTTCACTATTAACCCCCTTTCTTAGCCAGAAAAACTCCTACTGCCTACTGCATGGATGGAGGGTGGGGGGAGACAGAAGAGAGAGCCAGCCCTGTTCAGTGATAAATACGGACAACTTGTTAAAACACCTGGTTTTATTGTTTAATAAACTAATGCTAAGTGAGTGTTGGCTGGGCTGCAGCACATTGCAGGCTCCCAAAGTGCATTTGAATTTGTGTGAATTGTGTATTTGTATTTTCCCCCTGGCTCTTTTTGTTCAAAAATGTCTCCCAAACACTGTAATCCTATATTTACCTTGGCAGCGACTAAGTTTATGGTCCAACTTCTTTAACCCTGGTCTTGCAGCTTTCAGCATATGCCCACTGGTGGAAAATCTTTCCCTGTTGAGGGCATTATTCTCTCAGGGGGTCATCTGCCGTTAGTGGGTAAGGTTCAAGTGAGTGGGGCACCCTTTCCCCCTCCTTGCCAGTCACACTGAATTAGGCCAAGGGGAAAGGCACATGAGGCCACAAAAGAGCCTAGTTCGCTAGTTCCTGTTTTCAATATACCATATGGACTACCACTAGATACAAATGCTCTGGTTTTGTTTAGATGGCAAAGGGAAGCAGAAATATATTAATGTTCATTAACTTGTTCCACTTGTTTTAAATTTCTGTATTTGAGTTTGTTTGTCTGTTTGTACTATATATTAATAAAAACCCTAGTGAAAAAAACTGTGGCCCTTAGGTCATAGATTCCCCACCTCACCCATCTAAATCAGTTAGCTGCAAATTGCTTTTCAGACCACAATACATGCCGTGGTAAAGCTATTTTCTTTTTTTTCTTCTTATGGAACTCTTACCAGTGTTGATGCTAGAATCTTCCTGCTTCTTTAATGAACTGATGAATTGATTTTATAATGAATTGACTGCGGTGTCCCTCTCTGAGACGTGTTTTGCGGAATTATTGTTTTGGGGTTATGCATGGTTTATTATTATTATTATTATTATTAATAATAATAATAATAATACTTAATTCTGATTGAAGTGTATTGTATTTTTATATGCTGTAACCTGTCCTGGGACCTTCTTGTGAAGGACATTTTAAGAAATATAACAAACTAATAGCAGCAGCAGCAGCAGCAGCAGCAGCAGCAGCATAATACTGCCACTCTTCAGTCCATGATTCTGAAGGGAGCATCACAGGAAGTGTTTATAAAAGATAAATAAGGTCGTATAGGCAAGATTTACAGTGCGATGCTGTAGACTGAATAACAAACCTGTCACACACTTGAGGTTGTGTGTGGACCTCCACTTTGGCCACTATTATGGTATGTTGGCAGCAAAGTGCCTTGACCACGTTATCCAGCAGGCATTCCATGACTGAAAAGGCGATGATGCCAATACCCAGTTTCTTTCTACATGCAAAATCTGAACTGTCTTACAAAAAGTCCAGGCTATTTGTCCATTGACTCCAGTACGGTCTACTCTAACTGGCCATGGTTTTCTAAGGTCTCCAAGCAGAGGGAGGTGTCTCCCATCACTAGTTTACCTGATCATTTTAACTAGAGGTGCCAGGGACCGAACACCCAAAGGATATTCCATGCAAAGCATGAGCTCTACCACCAAACTATGGCTCTGCTTTCTGCCTAGCTGATCAGGTGGCAAAGAGTACCTATAGCCAGCTGAGGTTGGTGTGCCAGCCATGCCCATTGCTGAGGGAAGACCTGGCCACAGAAATAGATTATTTATTAAAATAATTTATATATACTAGTTAATGCAGTAGCATCTAAGCAGTGTGCAGCAGGAGACATCATATATCACACACTTAACTAAGTTCAGAGAAAACTCACTTAAAATGTCTGCATATTTTAATGTAAGTCTTCACATGCCTTCATTAGATCCAGGTTGGATTACTGCAACACATCCTACATGGGGCTACCTTTGAAAAGTCTCTGGAAACCCCAGCTGGTCCAGAATGCACCTGCAAGGATGTCAGTGGGTGCTCAAATAGCTCAGTTGGTTTGGGTGTGGTGCTGACAACACCAAGGTTGCAGGTTTGATCCCCATAAGGGACAGCTGCATATTCCTGCATTGCCGGAGGTTGGACCAGATGATCCTCAAGGCCCCTTCCAACACTATGATTCTATGAGCTATCCTGTTCTATGTCCATGGAATCATTTACACGGCTGCACTGCGTAGCAATATGCTTCTAGGCATAATTCAAAGTATCGGTGGTTACCTTTAAAGCTCTAAATGCTTAGGTCTTAGGAACTCCTCTTTCCATATCATTCTGCCCATTCCCTTTTCTGTGTCCCACCTAGGCTGGACACAGGGATGAGAAGAGAGGCCCTCTTTGTGGCTGCACTTAAGATTATGGAACAAACACCTTGCCCTGTGAAGCATGGGTGGCCCACTCCCTTGCTTCCCCCTCCTTAAAATAACTTCTTAATGTTGCCATTTATTAATATAAAAAGGAAAGGATGAATTTTAAAAAGCCATAATGAGGAGCAGATAACATGTAATGCAACAGAAGTACTGAAAGTAGCCTGAGCATGGCATGCAAATGGCATGAGGGTAATCCCAAGCAGTCATTTCAGAAGGACAGATGAATGTGCATTGGTGTATTTGAGAGACACAAATGTTCTGCACAGGGATGGATCTAAGCTAAGCCAATCAAACTTGGTTCCCATTAGTTCCCTTGCTGTTTTTCCTCAGTTACGTAAGACAGTTTTGCTCTGCCAGGTTTTTGTTGTGTGTGGCAGATAATACAACGGCTGTTCCCGTCTCCTTGATTTATTCTTTTTTAATATTGCTTTTATTAAGCAGCAATTTCAAATGTTGTAAACTGCCGAGCAGAACGTTTGCACCAGAAGAGGAGGACATTAAATATCTAAGTTGATCCCCCCCAATCACAGGGATTTGAGAGCGCACAAGAGGAAGTATGTCCTGGTGCATAAGTACTGGCATAAAGCAAGGGTAGCCAAAGTTGTGCCACCCAGATGTTGCTGGACTAAAACTCCCAGCATCCCCAGCCAACATAGCCAATGGTCATGGATGACAGATGCACAACGCTGGAGGGCACCATGTTAGCTATATATGGATTAAGACAAAGACACTGCCCCAAAATAACAACAAAAATAATAATCACAAGAATAATTCTGCTTCCTTTATTTTACATCTGTAAAAAGTGGCATGGCATAAACCTCCTATGTGTTACAGAGCACTTGGTTTATAGATTTAAAAAAGCAATCTGCACATATTATAAGGAAAAGACAGCCCCCACCTCTCTCAAATAATGAGGATCATCTGCATCTTGTTCAAAAATCTCATGCCAACAGCCTTTAGCATAGCATCCCTATATATTAATCATACATACATCCCACTAATTATGCAAGGCTATGTGAGCATCACCATCTGCCCCAACAACAATGCCCACATGAGAAGCATGATTCACCCCCAGAGGCTCACACCACAGGGGACAGAGCCACACACAGATCTCACTCAAGAAAGATTTTCAAAGCCTTCTTCAAGGGATAGCAACAGAAATCACCATCACACTCTCTGGAAAAAGAGGTAGTCAACAATTGCCTACCAGTTGTTGTTGGACTGCAGCTCTCACCAGTTCCAACCAACATGGTTGTGTCAAGGATGATGGGAGCTGGAATCCAACAACATATGGAGGGTAAGCATATTGGCCAACCCAGCAGTCAGGAGGATGGCAAGTCTCTAGAAGAACACATGTTCCTTAGAATAAGCTGAAGGTGCTACTGCCCATCTAGCTTCAGAGAGAAGGACCTCTCCTTGACATTTGTTGAAGGAAAAAACAGGAATGCAGGAGACAGTTGGCTCAGCAGAGACACCCACTTCAACCCATCCCGCAAGCAAATAGCTCCTTAAACCCTCCTTCTGGCTATCTCTTGTACACAATAATATAGCTTCCTGGATCATGCATGATTAGTTTTGAAGGTTTCTGGCACCACAGGTCCTCTACCCACTGTAGTTAGACTGCTGCTGAAATCAGTCACAACATGCCAAGCAACACCCTTCCACAAGCAAATGGGGTTATTACTGTGTAGGAAGCATGGTGTATAAATTCAGAAAAATAAATATGTGACATTTCACCAGAGAACAGGGGCTGGGAACCTTTTTCAGACATAAGGTTGTATTCTTTTGTTTATGACCTTCTGGGGCCCCCGAATGTTTGTGGCGTGGGAAACAAAGGCAAAAGCAAGCAGAGCAATGGAGGCAGCTATTAACTTTTGTGCACATCCAGCCACGCAAAAGTCTACACCACACCTCTTCATCTTCCGTCCAGGCAAGCAAGTGGCCTCATCACAGCTGCTCAGGAACACATTCCAGCCAGGCAAAAGCCCTCAAGGAGAGTGCAGAATGGGGCAGAGGAGAGGGTGAGGCCTTGGGAGAGTCTCAAGGGCCAAAGAGAAAGGCTTGGAGGCTGCACCTGCCCCCCCCCGGCCTGAGGCTCCCCACCTCTACCACAAACACATCCATGAATTTCCACCTCTCTCTCCTGTTTCTCCCACATATGAACATCCATGTCCATTGCTCACTACCTTCTGCAGGATATGAAGATTTCCCTAAAGGAGCTCCCCTCATAACACTACTGGTCTCTCAAAGCTAAGTTATATTGCAGCCCCCACTATAACACACAGAGAGAGAAATGGCAACCAGGGCAGGCATTCTTTTACACACACTTCTGAAGAAGTGTGCATGCACACGAAAGCTCATACCAATAACTCTTAGTTGGTCTCTAAGGTGCTACTGGAAGGATGTTATTTATTTATTTTATTTATTTTGTTTTGTTTCGACACACACACACACCTACCACTGACTCAGGTGCCCCAACTTCATAAAACTATGGATCTGTTATTCTATTACTGATCAATTAGACCTCAATCTTACCTCTGTTGGTTAAGAACATAAGACGATCCCTTTTGGATGAGGTCAAACACCCATCTAGTCCAACATTCTGTTCTCCCAGTGGCCAACCAGATGTCTATGGAAGTCCTCAAGCACAGACTGTGCAACAGTGCTCTCCCCACCGGCAACTAGTATTCAGAGGAAGATGCTCTTCTATAATAATTATTCTGCTGCTGGCAACTGGGGACAGGTTCTCTAACAGGCAGCAGAAAGCTTGGAATGCCCCTCTTAACGCCCACCTCTTGTGGATCATTTTTTTCATCCCCCTAATGCTTAGGACAGCTATCTCATACCAACTGCTATGTCTGCACAGCATTACAAAAACAGGACACTACTCAAGTGTTGCAGCAAGCTCAGGCCAACATCTCATACATGCCAGTGGAAAAACAAAGGTACCAACCTTTTCAGTACCTGCCTGGAACAGATTACAGTATTATAGCTGAGAGTCTGTGATGTTAAAGGTCCCACATGAATACTCGATAACAACGCACTAAACTCAAGGAGGCCAATACAGTTATAATAGATTTGGGGAAAGTGATTTGAAATGACCACTTGTCTGAAAGACAGAGGTTATAAAAGCTTGCCCAGTTATCCAACCTAGACCTTCTGGTTCAGTTGGAACACACAAGCAAGACAAGCAGCATATGGAGATGATGGCCTGTCTTGCTGATCAGCGTTGTCCTAGCCATCTGTCTGCAGCCACCTGTTGTCTTCTTGACTTATTGAGTAAGAACATGCTTTGGGGGGGGGGGCATCCTACACAGATCTGTGCTGCCTCTAGGACAGCAGTCAACAACCACAGGCCTGAACAATCAGAGAAAGAAATATTTATTTGTTAAAAACAAACAAACCCTGAGATCACAATCCTGCTCTTAACAAGGGAGCTGCAAAGTGAAGAGAACTGCACATAAATGCCCTTGCAACACCACAATACAGTTAGTCATCACACTGCACTGTCAAAAGCGCAGAGCTAGGAAGTGCAGCAGCTGAAACATACATGGCCATGTGCAGCTCACAAACGGTTGTAGAAAGAGCATGGGAGCAGCAACAGCAGCAGTTACGTGTCCTATTCATCCTTTCAGGGCAAATTCCATATTACCTTGAAAACTTGAGCATCAACTTAAAGTTTTCATACAACCCTGCAAATTTTCCGGCTTTGGATCCAATCAATCACGGTACCTTTCCAGACCAGCTTTTTGGAATGGAAACTGAGGCACATGTTGGCCATGTTCAGATAATAAGCCAAGAGATAATTGCGCCTTTTGCCAACGCATACACTTTGCCACATGAGCAAACCAAGTGGAAGTCTTCAATCAACCATGCTTTCTTCTTTCCTCCAAATTGGGAAATGATGGTTGTTCACTAAGAAATAAGCCAGGATATTAAAACATGGCTTGAAGGTGCCTTAATATCTTGGCTTCTTCTGAAGCTGGCAACCAGTTTACCAGTCTGGGTAACTGAGTGGAATTCAACATAGTGCTAAGTGGGGTATACACAAGGGGAATGAAGTCCACTCACACAGTGGGATTCTTCCCCCTTCTCTTCCTTCCTGTGACCCCTAAACCTGTTATGGTGGTTTCCCTGGTCTTTGAGATCTGATTTTTTTTTGGGGGGGGGGGGAAGAGTCCCATTGCTTAGTAGAATGTCACTCTTTGTTTAAATAGAGGTTTCCTGGTTTACCTGTAGAGTGTTTATGCTTGAGCAAAATACCTTTTCATACCTCAGCCTAATAATGCCAGTGACCAATTATTGTCTAAAAGTAGTCAGAATTACACTTCTTTTGAAGCAACCACACTACTACCTTGTTTCTAGATGCAATTCAAGGCACTGGTTTTGCCTCCAAAGCCCCAAATGGTTTGGGTCCTGGTTACCACAGGACTTCTTACTTTTGCCTTCCCAAAATTTGGGATCACCCAATGGGTCAGATACACGAATACTAGTTTGTATGGAAACAAGGTCTTTTTCTGCACTCTCCATCACAATATCCACGCCTCCCTCTCTGACAATGTCCATGCAGTTCTACTTTGTTATGCCTTTAATACTTCTTTGTCTTCCTCTTAATAAAAATTAATTTCAAGGTGACTTACAAATTAGAAATCCATTCAACACCCAACCTTGTTCTTGCTGCACTGCGTTT